AGACGCTGAATAAATTGCAATAAAAATAAACAGGGGCATCCATTTAAAAAAACCAGGTTACATACAACATCTTAGAAACGGTAAACTTGGCAACATTGCAAATACCACCATTGAATCGGGCATTCCCAAAAACCTTCAGGTAGGAAATATTGTAATTTTTTTTCAAGCCGGTTCTGAAATATCAGACCGTTTCCATACATAACGACAACATCTGGATTGTTACGGAACTTATGGGTAAACCTCTGCTGGACGAGCGCAGCGAGTTCCGCAGCCATATACTCACCAATATACTATTTAACTATTCAAATAAGACACTCACCTGAAACGTGTAGTTTTTGAACTAATGAGAATAACTGACATTTGAGTGAGTCAGGTTAGTATCCTACTCTAACAACATATTGGTGAGTAGATGGCTGCGGAACTCGCTGCGCTCGTCCCGCAGAGGTCCACCCATAAGTTCCGCAGCAATCCACTCGTTTGTACTTGAATAACTTGTTACATTATGTTACTTGTTTGGTAAAGTAACATTATTAATTCTTGATGAATGGGAAATTAACAAAAAGTGAATAATCTTAAAAATTTTGACATTATATAATTAATAAATTATTGTTCAAGTACAAATAAGTGGATTATTGCGGAACTTATGGGTGGACCATCTATTCATCAATTAATGTTTAAGTACGATACTAACCTGACTCATTCAAATGTGAGTTATTCTCATTAGTTCAAAAACTACACGTTTCAGGTGAGTGCCTTATTTGAACAGCTCAACAGTATATTGGTAAGTAGATGGCTGCGGAACTCGCTGCGCTCGTCCCGCAGAGGTCCACCCATAAGTTTCGCAATAATCCACTTATTTGTACAGGGTATTTTTTTATATATTAACACCCCACCTACAGACTTTACCTTTACAGGTAGAAGAAAGGTGTAAATACAAAAGTTGTACAGTTTTGGTTGAGTTTTTAGAAACCATGGTCAGAAATAAAATTTAAATGTCAGAAATATGAAATTTTGCATGCCTTCAACTTTTTTCAAATGGGATGCCCTATATTTTATTCTATATTCTTGAAGAGCATAATGCCCCGATTCCAAAAATATATAGTTTGTTTATATTTGATTGAGCAGTCTCTCATTTATTCGGCTCCAAAAATTGTAAAAATACTATTTTACTACTGATTTTGTGAACCATTTTACCTGTACAGAACAGTTGAACAATAACCTTTTAATTATATAAAGTCAAAATTTGTAAGATTATTCACTTTTTGTTAATTTGCCATTCATCAAGAATTAATAATGTTACTTTACCAAACTAGTAACATAATGTAACAAGTTATTCAAGTACAAACGAGTGGATTGCTGCGGAACTTATGGGTGGACCTCTGCGGGACGAGCGCAGCGAGTTCCGCAGTCATCTACTCACCAATATACTGTTGAACTCACCAATATACTGTTGAACTATTCAAATAAGACACTCACCTGAAACGTGTAGTTTGTGAACTAATGAGAATAACTCACATTTGATTGAGTCAGGTTAGTATCGTACTTAAACAACATATTGATGAATAGTACCAAGTACCTCAAATACAATTACATGTATAGGTACAATGGTTCACAAAATCAGTAGAAGGATAGTATTTTTACAATTTTTGGAGCCGAATATATGAGACACTATTCAAACAATTATAAACAAACTATATAGGTAATTTATAATTTTGGAATCGGGGCATTGTGTTCTTCAAGAATATAGAATGAGATATAGGGCATCCCATTTGGAAAAAGCTGGAAGCATTTAAAATTTCACATTTCTGACATTCAAATTTTGTTTTTGACCATAGTTTCTAAAAATTCAGCCAAATAACTGTACAACTTTTGTATTTAAACCTTTCTTCTACCTATAAAGGTAAAGGTGGAGTGTCAATATATAAAAAAAAACACCCTGTACATCCAGTGTTATACATAGTAATATAGCAAATCGGAAATATCAAATCCCAAAATTATATTCAAGATGTCCTAAGGGAATGTGAACGAAGTTTCAAAGTTAAAATACAAGGTGACTTATCCAAAATTTACCATCTTAATTGTTTAATTTTTTCAATTTGATTTCCAAAATTTTGCTTCAATATATGAACCACCTGTATGGGAAAAAAAGTTACCCTACTTTTATATTAAAAGCAGTAATTTACATGACCAGGAAGTGAAACAATTACCTGGCAACCTAAAATTGGGGGCCATAAATCGCGATTTGGAATTTATGTCGGAAATTCTTTCTTCCAGTATTTTATACCGGACGTTTGTATAAAAATTCTTCCGGTGTGGTTTTAAATTCGGAATAGTCTTGGGGATTTGTTAGTTTGAAGACTGATTTATACTCATACTTATAACATACGATTTTTCGCATTATACAGGGTGTTTGGTACATCGATGGGAAGATTTCGTAGTTACCCTCATGCAAAGTTTCGCCGGTTTTTGAGATATCGCCTTCTTTAGATATTTTTAATTCATGTATATAACACATAGCTTGGGCTACATATTTTTTGCATCAATCATTTTGTTTTTTTTTTTTTTCGTATTGTTTCGAAAGAGTGCATAGGTATTGGGAATATCGGAAAAAAAAAATAGAAAAAGGTTAAAGTGTTTACTACCAAAGAAAACAATATGTTTTAGGAACAATTCAAATATTTCCCAAAAATGCTGATATCTCAAAAACGGCGAAACTTTGCATAAGGGTCTTCCAAATGACTCCAACTATTACACATTGAAAACTTCCTATCGATGTACCAAATACCCTGTATATTTCTTCTGAAAATTATTTCGTATTAGGCATATTTTCTTGTTGACAATAATTCAAAATCCTTACTTAAAGGTTAACAAATCTCATTGATTCTAGCTTAATTTATTCCAGAACCTTAAATAGCATTCAATTTTCAATAAATCTGTTCAAAAAAGCCAGGAAAATTGCAAATTTCCATTCAATTTTGAATCATATACAACATTAAATCGATAGCTCCTGTGCCTCTTTTCACTAAATACAAATTAATCAGCGAGTAGCAACAACTTAATTACAGCATTCGTTATTTATACAGCAAATTAACTTTTTCTCGAGTCAAGTTTTTTCTTTTTAAATTAATTGGATACCATTTAATTCCTATGGATTAGAATAAATTAGAACAAATCTATTACCAACACAAACATTGACACTATAATAATCCCTCGGGATAAAAATCGATTTGATAAATTATTTGCCACTTGAAAAGGTAAACGACCCAACCATGACTTATTGACATGACAATTATTCATATGATATGGGAGGATTAGCGTCATGAAATTAATTGTGACTGACAAGTAAATGCATGTAAACTTTTTGATAAAAACTAATTTCATCCTGGTTCATGTTGAATTTAATTATTAAAGATTCCTACCTGTAGAAAAGATCTCTCATTGGACTAAGTGAATTATGGTCACTATAAATTTGGTCGAGCCGTCGTGAGGAACAACAAAATGTAAATTATTTCTTATGGTGTGGGACCTTATTTTGCATAAGCCCCGCCATATGTCATACTAATGGGCTCGTGTTTACGATTTATGTCATTCGAGAATTTCGCCGAGGTATATTAGTTGAGGACGACGATATCGTCGGACAAATCGAAAAATAGCAGCAGATATGTACTTATAGTCTATTTCGAATTTATGCGGAGTAGGTAATAGAAATTCGTCAATGGTGTCCAATTTTTATAGAATTATTTGATATGAAATAAAACCAGAATATTTGACACATTATATTATATCCTGTATATGATTTCCCATCAATTATGTTGTTTCCCCAATCTGCATCGCTGTAGCCTGAAATTTCTAATCTATCTTGTTTTCGAAAAACTAAATTTTTATCAATAGACCCTTTCAAATATCTTAAAACTCTCTTTGCATGCTGAAAATGAATATTAGAAAAGCAATTATTGAATTGACTTAAATAGCTGACAGCAAATGCAATATCAGGTCTAGAATTAACAGCCAAAAACATTAGTGACCCTATTAAGTGTCTGTAAGGAATATTGTCATCACAATTTCCACTCTTTTCCAATTTTAACCTAGCTTCAATAGGAGTCAATGCTTTTTTTGCATCTGACATACCAAATTTTTTTAATAATTGCAAAATGTAATGTTTTTGGTTGATTCTTAACTCATTTTTAGATCTATCTAATTCAATATTTAGTCCTAAACATTTCTTTACTGGACCAAATTCTGACTGAAATTCTGAGATAATGATAATTTAAGTTTTTCACTTTCAACACTATTATTTGAAAATATAAGAAAATCATCCACGTAAAGAGCAATTATGACTATTGTGTTAAAAAATTTTTTAGTGTAAACACAAGACTCATATCGAGACTTCTCATAGCCTAAGCCTGTCAGGGTTTTATCAACTTTTTTATTCCACATTCTTGATGCTTGCTTTAGACCATAAATGGCTTTATTTAGTAGACAAACTTTACTTTTATCTACAACAAAACCTTCAGGCTGGGTCATGATAACTCTCTCATTTAACTCACTATTTAAAAATGCAGTTGTAACATCTACATGTTCTATGTCTAAATGAAGACTAACAGATAATGCAAATAACAATCTCAAGGTAGAGTTCCTTACCACAGGTGCAAACGTGTCCGTGTAGTCTACTCCATACTGTTGTGTAAAACCATGTGCAACAAAACAAGCTTTATACATACTCTCTCCATTCACATCACTTTTTAATTTAAAAACCCATTTGCACTGCACTACCTTTTGATTTTCTTCTTTATTCACAATAGTCCATGCTTTGTTTTCCATTAGAGAATTTTATTCCTCGTTCATAGCCTCTTTCCATTTGTCAGACTCCGGGCAATTCATAACTTCATGTACTGATAAAGGCTCAGAAGTGTATTCTGATACTAAATACAGTACATGATCTGGAAACTCTTTTTCTCTCCTCATTCTCTGTGAACGTCTTGGAATTTCATTCTCTTCACTTTCAACATCTTCAGCATTTTGACTTTCTGCATTTTCACTTTTTTCATCTTCAGCGTTATGACTTTCTGCATTTTCATTTTCTTCATCTTCAGCATTATGACTTTCAGCATTTTCACTTGCTTCATTCAAACTATCACTGTCAGTGTCACGATTTTGTTCCTCATCATCATTTTTCTGGTCATCAAAAAATAATCTTTCACCTTCCTCTTTGTAATTTTTCATGCTTGGCTTGAATTTGTTTTCAAAAAACACAACATTTCGAGACTTTATTATTCTACCATATTTTAGAATATCCAATAATCTATAACCTTTTGTGTTTTCATCATAGCCAACAAAAATGTACTCCTTACTTTTTGGATCAAATTTTTTTCTTAATTGATTCGGAACATGATGCGCTTGCGCAATACATCCAAAAACACGAAGATGTTCTAGACTTATTTTATCTCCTGACCATTTCTCCTCCGGTGTACATCCTTTAACTGCTTTGTGTGGAGAACGATTCTTCAGATAGACAGCTGTATTGACAGCTTCTGCCCACATTTTTTGTTCAAGATTAGCTTCTTGTAGCATACATCTTGCTTTTTCCACTATGGTTCGATTTGTTCGTTCGGCTACTCCATTCTGCTCTGGTGTATATCTTACAGTAACTTGATGTATTATGCCTTTTGATTTCATATATATGTTCATTGTTTCATTGACATATTCCGTACCGTTGTCACTTCTGATTTTTTTTATAGTTTTACCTGTCTGATTTTCTACTAATATCTGAAAATTCCTAAAATTTTCAAAAACTTCTTTTTTACATTTTAGAAAATAGACAAAAATCTTTCTGGTGAAATCGTCAACTAAAACAAAAACGTATCTTGCTCCACTATAGGATGCTACTGGCATGGGCCCACAAAGATCTGTGTGTACTAGCTCCAGTACCTCTTTAGCCCGTTCACCTCCAAGTTTACTAAATGGTTTTCGTGTTTGCTTACCTAAAAGACAAACAGTACAGTCGTCTGCTTTTTCATCACAGTACTCAATGCCTGTTGCCATGCTGTTTTTCAATAAATTCATGCTTATTCTGTTCATATGGCCAAGTCGTTTATGCCACAAATTCTGTGCTTCTTTAGCGATACTTAAGAAAGTTTTATCCTGTACAATGTCCAATTCATATAGACCATTTTTATTGGTTGCTGTGACAAGAGTTTCGCCCTGAACTTTGAAATTATCAGCATCGTAAATTGTACAACCATTTGTGTCAAAGACAACAGCATTCCCCTTTTCTAGCTAATCTCTCAAAACCCAATATACTAGAGGATGAGTCAGCCATTTTTGAGATTTCGTAACTTTTCACGTCGAGTACAGATACCAACGCACTGGGACCGTAACCTGTGAGTTTTTATGGAAGTCCACACTCGATTTTTGATTATTTAATGTGAAAATGAAATAGAAATTCAGACCGCACGTTGACAACTTTTAATAACAATGACAATTATATAATGACGGAACTAGACAACAATAGTACCTACCACCAAAAATTACAATTTGTCAAGTACCTACCTATTCTTTAAGTTCTAATTACACTAACCATGATGAGATGGTTCACACAGTATTAAACTACTAGCTACCTAAACTATAACTATAGAAATATTACTGGATTAAAATAGAAACATATTTATATAATAATTCTAACACTATCCCTTGAAAAAGATGACAAGATTTTTCAGACTTTTATAACTGTACTATATATATCAAGATTTTTTATAAATAAAAGCTGCAATTTCACACAAATCTCATGTTTTTTTATTAAATTTCACTTTACCTAAAGTAAGGTTGAAGGAGCAACTTACTTTGCATAGATATTAATTTTGCAATATTTACTAGTGGGTGTGTATATCGCTTACGATTAAACGCCAACATAGGATATTATACAGAAAAAGCTTGTGATGAAATCTTATTGAAATATATAGAGTGTCTCAGCTTAACTAGTTCAATATTTTTGTAGCTGTAATATTGAAAAGCCAAACCTTCCTCTATCTACTCACAATACTTCAAACAGTTTCCACAAATGGGAGTAGCTACATACCTAATTGAAACACCTTGTATAAATTTCCCATTATCTACTCTATTTGAAATGCGAAAAAAAAAAAGTAAGTCAGTAAAACCTCTTATGCAAATAAGAATTTTATTATCTGCCGCCTTAATTGCTTTGCGCTAATTGTTTTTGCTAATACTTTGATTATTATGAAACTGGAACAAGACTACTTAATTATAATTGTTTAACAATAACTGATAATAAATATTTTTCGGCCAAGCCCTGTATTATTGAATAACCAATTCTAGTATTTATGGGACACTTAATAAAACCTTTTCCAGAATTTATGATTAATGATGGACCCTTTTCCAGTCAAAATCATATGGTCACATTTGAATATTATAAAGAAGTCGTTGTCTTTCTACTAACTTCCGGTATCATTAACTTTATAAACTTGACATCATAAAACGCGCAAAGATTGGGTTTATGGTGGTTTGAAAGCTATTTTATTTGAGAGTAAATAATAGTGTCTTGAAGACATTCGCGCCGCATCTCCGCTGCTTCTGATTGTTTTGGATCTACGCCAATGTTTTAGATTACATCGGCCTGTGCAAAATGGTCTTTTTAATCAAATAGATCTGCCGCTTTTAACTTAAGTGGTTCTAAAATATGTCAATTACTTACACATTTCCCTTCCAAGTACCCAAGTCTCAGGACGCGAATTGACCTCAACCAGAACGGTCGGCGTACAAACCAGCAACACCATCAAATCAGCGATGCTTAGATTCACTAGGAATATGTTTGTGCTGTTTCGCATGTCTTTCGTTTTGAATATCACTATTGGGACCATCACGTTGCCTATCACTCCCAGGCACATTATGATTATGCAGAATACCTGGAAAATAAATCAGCTCTTTGTTACAAATTACACAAGAAGTATTTGGATATTTATAAGTTTTCTGGTTCAAAACAGCTAACTATAAGCAAATGTAGAAGTCATTATGAAGTTGTTATTAATAAAAATCTTCTCTTGGTATCTTGTAGATATGGTATCTTGTATTTTTTCCTGTTGTTCTGTTTTATCAAGGTTCTTTTATTTCAATGTTGTGTTTTTTCTTGATTTTGTTATGTCATGGTTCTCTTTTTTTTGGCTTTGTTTTGGCTTCACCCCTAAGGTATCTAGCCACATCTATTGGCGCTGTTCAGGGATGACCGGCTCGCAACTGCCCTTTCCAGCAAGCTACGTAGGAGTCGTATATTTGTTTCTCTTTCGATTTTCTTAATTCTCTCTCTACTTACTGTTCAGATTTGTCTTTCCCTTCTATCCTTTCCGTACGCGAATTTTAGTAAGACATCACACACATAGGAAACACATTGACATAGAAAGATTTTAAGATTTCAGATCACTAAATTCAATATTATTTGCTCTAAGAAAGTCCAAAATTAGTTTGTTTGTTCTCTCCTTAGGATTGAATATCACTGAGTCAATTGAAATTGGGGCTTGGACCCCATTTTGTATGAATATATCATATAGATTAGGTTGCAGGTTTTGGCATTCAAAAACCAAGTGTTCCAATGATCCCACATTCACATTCCAAAGAGTCCCTTAACCCTAGTCTATGAAGGTGTATGGGAGTTGGGCAGTGGCGCGTTCTCATTCTGATGATTGTCGTTATATGCCTTCTGTACCAAATATTCAAGATTGTTGAACCAAGGTTCATCCGGAAAAGATCCTACATATTGTTTGTACTTAATGCCCTTGTTTCCTAATGAGTTCTTCCAATATTCCTTCCAAATTCGCTTATGTTTACTCCCTTGACATCCAACAGGATGGGGTAAGGGATCTTAAGTAGTGTTCTCCCAATTTTAGCAAGTTTGTCAGCAATTACATTTCCCTGTATGTTTGTGTGTCCAGGAATCCAGCAAAACCGGATGTCTAAGCCAGCTTCATTCGCCTCTATCAATTGTTGCTATGGTAGATATTCGAATATATTCTTGGTATTTTAGTTCTTTACCATTAACGGCCTTCACTGCACTGAGTGAATCTGTAAAAATAACTGCCCTCCCATTATTCCTTCTAAGGACCAAATTATGGACTGACTGGTAAACGTCTGGTTGTTATCTAGCAGGTACTTTCTATGCACTAAAAAATAGAATAGAGAATAGAATGTACCTGTTAGATAACAACCAGACACTTTCCAGTTGGTCCATAATTTGGCCCTAAGGCACTCACTTGTGGCTTTATGAATTCCTATGATTTCTGCTGTGCAAATTTGGGTGAATTTAGGGAGTTTCGATGAAAAATTATATTTAGAGAACTGGAGTAAAACACACAGTCTATCTTCACTCTTTATTTTACAAAAATAATCAATGGATCTATCATAGATCCATCATCAGCATAAGTTCAAATGGCATAGGGAAAATATGGTCATATACGACATGCCTAAGTATAATAATTATACATAAAAATATAAGTGTTCATGCTGTTATCAGCATAAAGTTGGTGGCTAAAGCCGCATCCAACACAGAACACATTTACAAAACAAAGGTGAAGATTGAAAAAATTATTTTATTAACATTAGAAAATAGGACTGCCACACAAACACAGAATATGCCTATAGGAGGCGGAATTTTGGACACTCATCTGTACTTCTGGATGTTAGTGGGTGTTAGCTTTTAGCTGTTAATCAAATTTCAAAAATTTTCTTTATGAAAATCGTGCTGTCTGCACGAGGAGTAAGAATGTTATTCTTCCAACTGATTATTTTTTTTAAAATAAAGAGTGAAGATAGACTGTGTGTTTTACTCCAGTTCTTTAACTATTCTCTTCACTGTGAGACATGGACTACTATTTCAATTATATTTAGGTTGGGGACAGTGGACCCCAAAACTAGCCTCGTTTGTTTCCTTTAGGACCGAGGTATCAGAGTAAAAATGAGTATAATTTTTAAATTTTTCCTATATAGTAACTATCAAGATTTTTTTTGTCAGGGCCATTTTCTTTATTGTAGAAACCTCACTCCAGCTCAATTTTGGTCTATTCCGGGCACTTGAAATTGTCAAAATAAAGAAAATTGAAGAGCCTGGAATAGAAAAATCCTTAATGCCACTTATCTACCAATTTATCTTATATTTCTTCTCTATATTTTGGTACCTTACTTTGCCAAGTCGTTAAGTTGATTGATTGATTTGAAAGGGATACCTTCACGTAGACGCGCATGTGATCCATTGTGCTATCCCCCTTCTGGTGCAGCCCTGTCTTACCTTAGGAGTCCGCAACTATTACGTGATTTTTCCAGGTCAGCCTCGAGTCAATCATGACTCCTAGATATTTGACGATACCGGATGGAACAAGTCTCGATCCAAAAAGCGAGAACCCTTCCAGGTGCACGTTTCTTCGCTTTGTAAATGGTACTACATCAGTTCGTGTTCCAGGTGTTCCTGAACTTACTGGTCCCAGCCTTGTGATCAAGGTTCAAGCGGAATAGGTTGTGTCTGTGATCCGATAGGGATGGTTCGCCACACTGTTCACTTACTTTTCATCGGTGCCATGGAGAATGAACTCAATGTGAAGTCTATCACCTCTTATCTATTTTACGCGAAGTGGCAAAGCTCGATGCGCTGCCACGGTTGAGTATTTCTAAATCCGTGGTGTGAAGGTACTCCAGAAGACTGAGCTCTATCCGGGACGGGAAGGCCCAGTGAGTTACCATCAAATCGATGAACTCCCATGTTAGGGAATCATCTGTTGAGTCATAGAACAGATAGGCCAAGCAAACTACTCTCGATCTGTTCTGCCCCAGTCTGTCCTTGAGGCATAGCTTTACCGCTGCTAGGTTCCTAGAGCAGAAGTTAGCAATTAGAGTGGACTTGATTCTTCTGTCGACATAGATGCAATTCCTTGGGTTCAGTTGGAAGTTCCTTTCATAGAAAAGAGATCTTTCCTCGTCGCTAAATTCCTGACGAAACCGTGTCAAGAGCCAAGGGTTATCAGTAGAACCCCGAAATAGTGTCCTAATTGTGTCCTAAAATACGACTCTCGACTCCTGGTTCCATGAATTAACCGCATGTTTTGCGACCGATAAGAATCCCAAAAGCGTTATCAAACTGCCAATATAAATAAGCCTGTGAATCTCCTAGATTCATTCAGTTCTGTAACGAAGTTCTGGTGTTTAGTGTTAACGTCTTTCTGCTGACTCTCTTTCCGAGACCTTAGGTAATGTTTCAATTTCAAGTATTTTAATTTATTCATCATGATTGTTGTTTTCTGTCTATTATTTATTTTCTCCCCTGTGTAAAGAACAAAACCATTGGGTTAGCTTCACAACTCAAATCTCTTTTCCAACATGTATCTTACCCTGAATAAAGCCCGGGACACATCTGTCATGCATTCTTCTGATCCGACTCCGATCATACAATCAGGGTCCTTATTCTTAAAACAGGGAGCAGCGTTCCCAGGGAGAACGAGTGTTCCGCTGCTCCCCTGTTCCAAGAATAAGGAGCTTGATTGTATGATCGAAGTCGGATCGGAAGAATGTATGATAGATGTGTCCCGGCCTTAACAAGACTGTTTTGTCATTCCCTTATCGAGAACACCCGTGACTTTTACCCACTAAGAATTATAACCTAGTCTTTATTTTCTGTATCTTTTAATCTTTAATTTCTCATCTAACTTGTACAGGGTTATTGGTTATAAATGTCACCCCCCTCTATCTTTTTTATTTCACATTTTAGAAAAAAGTGTCCCAAATAAAAAATGTATGGTTGAAATTAAATTTTTTGAAAAACTCACTTTTTCATATACAGGGTGTTTCAAAATAGCTGGTCGTGCTCCAACTTTCTTATTTTAAATTGAATACCCTATATATTATTCAATATTCGAATTTAACGTCAAATTCTGAGCAGATTTCATGTGATATACCCTATACCTAAGTTCAACTGTTTTGGAAATATTGACAGTTGAAAATTGACTTTTTCGCAAATTTGACAGGCTGTAAAACCTAAACGGTTAACTTTTGAGCAAAACTGATCATTTTTTTCTAAGATTTTCACAAGTTATCATTTGACACCAACTTTGAATTTAACCGAAGATTAAATTAATCAGGGATTAAATTCAAAGTTGATGTCAAATATTGGTGTCAACTGATAGTTTAGAAAAATCTAAGATCGGTTTAGCTCTAAAATTAACCGTTTAGGATTTACAGCCTGTCAAAGTTGCAAAAAAGTCAATTTTCAACTGTCAATATTTCCAAAACAGTTGAACTTAGGTATAGGGTATATCACATGAAATCTGCTCAGAATTTTATGTAGAATTCGAATATCCAATAATATACAGGGTATTCTATTTGGAATAAGAAAGTTGGAGCACGACCAGCTTTTCTGAAACACCCTGTATATGCGAAAGTGAATTTTTCAAAAAATTTAATTTCAACCATAAAACTTTTATTTGGGACACTTTTTTCTAAAATGTCAAATAAAAAAGATAGAGGGGGGTGGCATTTATAACCAATAACCCTGTACCATCAAGGAACGCCCTATACAGGACGCTCATTAATTTCACTACTTATCATTCCAAATCTCCATATGTATTGTCTTTCATTTCATTTCAGTAAACATTGTTAATAACTTACTGTATATTCTTTACTTTTCTTTCATTTCTTTACCAAGATTTACCATTTATTCAATAAACCATTGTTAGAGTTTAGTAAGAAAAACTGATTCTTTTATTTCCTTTGGAAAACCCCGAGCTAGTATCCCAACTAACTGCGTACAGCTCAGGTAGCAAGAACCCGCACTGGAAGAGGCAATCTAATCAGATTACTAAAAAGTATCCGTTCAAAGTTACCTAGATTTTCAGTAGGACTTTAAACAAAGTCCCTGGTGGCACGCTACCGCAGTACAAAAAGGCCTTTACCAGTGCTAAAACAAAGTCTCCCTTAACCAACCGCCGCAACCAAGTGGCGGTTGTAACACTGAGTCCAGAATTCTGTCTTCTGAGAAGTTTGAAGATGGTGTTGGTGTCGTCTGGAAGTTCGTGGACTACCGCAATCATTTTGACAACCCTGGAGAGTATATCACATCACAACGCAGCGATGCCCCTTCCCAGGGCCTTATCTAGGAGATGAGCCCTTTCAACTACTCTAGAGTCCACTGGTCCCCGCAACCTACGGTACCATAATGGTTCCTGAGGGAAGCGGTCACCTCCCATCATTTATGATGGTGTTTAATACCGCCATGATCTTTTTGTTCTGTGGCTTATAGTGATCGGAAACGTAGGTATCTGGCACTATGGTTACCCCGAACCTAGCAGATAAGTAGTAGATACTTCAACAATTTGGCTCTGGTACATATTTTATATCAAAATGGTATAACAATTTACTTTAATCACCAAGTTACACTTAAAATGTCGATCAGACACCAGAGAATTTTGGTTGCTTCAATGAAAATAGAAAGTTTCATTCAAATTCTTACCATCGAAGTAGTTCTTATATAGCTAGGAAACACCGAGCTACCGTACTCGATAATGGTACCATTGTAGCTGGAATTATTTCCGAACGCGGTCGAGTTGGTACCGTTACTGGCATCAGACGCTGGATACAAGTAGCTGTAGCTGATGGTCGTCGTTGCGTTGACATCTGACGTAAGGGCGCTGATGTTGTATGCTGAGATCATGTCATAGTTCAATGCAATGGGGAAATGTTATTCTGAAAAAAAGAAATAATTCAGTAATTAAACTCGAAATAACTACATTTACATTAAATGTTACTTCTTGGTTTTATAATGATGGAAGTTTTCAAACTATGTAGGAACAAAGCAAAATGGCTAATAATACTACTATTAAGATTGTGTGAATAAAAACGTTAAAATAATATTTGTGTCTGCTGAAAAATGTGGAATATTATGGAAAAGGGCACTATAGCGAGGGCAATATTTTACATTAGTTTGCACGCCGAGAGGGTAAAAGAACGCTTTGATTTTTATTTTTCGAAGCAAATTCGGGGACAAGTGGGAACGAAAATAGAGAAAAGGGTGTAATTTTGAGGCCAGAATTTTTTAAAAAGGTATTAATGGAAAACAGGAAGAGGGTAACTTCCATAAAATAGACCAAAGAGGATCAAACATCTCTATTATTGAGGCTCGTTTATTCCCTTGGTACAAAAGATATTATGTTTTCGAGGCTCTTTTATCCTTGCTGAAATTCAATTTGTAAATTTGTTTTTGTCAAAGTTTATTAGAGGAAAAAGGATATTAGTGGAAGGAATATTTTTGGTAAAAGCCTGATTTTCAGTTTGTATAAAAGGATGCAATGAAATTGATTCTAATGATGAATTGACTTTAAATAAATGCATATGATATTCAAAGATATCCTAAAGTAAAAATGTGGAAGAGATTAGAAGATTTTGACTTTAGAAAATATACAGTTTCGCATTCTTGACAGTAGAGGGAATTGTCCAGCCAGATTCAACAGGTATGAAAAATGCAAAAGTCTTAAAACTTATGAATAAAACTCAAAATGTAAATAACGAGCATGTTGGCTAAAGAAAATAATAAAGAAATAAATTAGGTGAAAGAATCCACATAAAACACACAATAAAGACGGAGGCAAAGACATTGTTATACGTAAGCATCAAACAAATCCAATTTTATATGCTAGAATAAATACACAAGTCAATTTGCCTCCAAAAAAAGTATAACGTTTAATAAATCATAACATAAAGAAAAAGTTGTTGCCTATTTATCTTAATGCGTCTGACCGTTAAACTTTTTCCCATCAGTTTTTGCTTTACTGGATCAGGGCCCAGACGTTTAAGATTTATCTTTATTTATTTATTTTCCTTTTTTTTTTCTGAGGAAGTTTCTAATAATACATTTTTTTTTTTGTTTGTGACGTGGCAAAGTGCAAATTCGCCAGAAATTCCAGACATTTTTTCCGATGATTAACACGTTTTACGACGAAAAGAACACGACAGCTTGGTGATTTGTTATTCGGAGCTTATTTTTAAAATGACCGTGTAGCAGCTTTTGTAATTATTGAATTTTGAAAAAAATAAATAAACGGTGCCTATTAAGTATTAAGGGGTGACGCTTTATTGCAAATTGCTCAAGTAAATTGCTGCAAAATACTATATTTATAAAGCTAAAGGTGCTAATGTTGTCAATTTACTCAAATACCATAAAAGGCTATTTTATATTGTTCTTTTAAAAAAATAATGATAATAGGATTGTGGTGATGTAGCAACAATTGCATCATATATTTATAATGACCTTGTCTTATAAATTATCAAACAATACTCCAAAAAAAAAAAATGTTTTGTTAAAAATAAATACAACCGCAAAGGGATTTAAACAATGGGTACTCTAAATGCAAAATAATGTTTTTACTGCTACCCTTCTTCGGCAGTAAATAATTTTTAAATGCAGACATTAAATTAATTTTATTTTGCCACTGTGTTTCAATACCCAAACATGTTTTATCGAGATTTTTTGATTTGGAAATCAAGAGCAATTAATAATGATCCAAATGTTGCTATGAAGCTTATATTTAAATTTTCATCTAAAGGAAGTCAAGAGCCGATGATAGTTGAATCTTGAATAACCTACTTCTTATTCAATTATTGTATAATAATTTAGAAAATTTCAAAGAAGGAAATAGGAACTTGTAATTTAGAATTTAAGAATTGTAAATTCAATTTCAAAATGGATAATATAAAATACAAATTAGGATGTTACCAATTCTGAATTACATTATTGTATTGAATTTTCTCTTTCTGAAATACCTACATAGGTATGTATTCTGATTGTGAATTACAAAGTCCCATTTCTGAATATTATGTTCCTCTTCTGAATATTAAATTTCATGTTCTGAATTACAATTCCTATCTTCTGAAATTTAATTTCCCTTTCTCAAATACATTTTTTGCTTTTTTGATTACCTACTATCGAAAAAGCTGTAGAGACAATCAAGGGTCAGTAATATTTCAAATTTTAATCATTACCGGCTCTTGATTCAGTAGAAAGGTACTGAGGTAGCAACCTTATGATTTAGATTTTAGAATGATTTGAAAGATCATAACTTTTTTTTTATTATAGACTATTGCGGCCATTGGAATCGGCACCATAGGCGTATCCAGGGGGGGGGGGGCTGCAGCCCCCCCCCCAAGGCAAATCCAGACTAATTTTTTTCCAGCATGTATTTTATGTGACATTTACATACACATTTTTTGTATAAAACAAATAGAAATAAAAATTCACTTCTTTCTATAATGAGGTTTTTCTATGGCGGGTGCCTAATGCTGCCAGGGAATCAGTGCTTCATCTGAATCATCCTGCATATCCGAAATACTTCCTTCCCCAGACTTGCGTCTATATCTCAACGTGGCTCCTTCAGTATGCGCTTGCGCGTACTTTCAACAGAAGATTTTTAGGTTAGATTTTCCTGTTTTGTCTTGCTTTTGATCTTGTACTTTTTTACGTAATTTTGTTTCTATACTGGCCCTGAAGTTTCTATTCCCCCGTTTAGGGTAATTTTTTCAGTTACATATCTGTTGATTCGTGTCATGTGATGGAGGATGGAGGAAACAAGAAAAAAAGCTGTTAATGAGCAAATGTCCACTTTACTTGCTCTATTATATGTTTCAAAAAGTCTACATACAAGAAAATCAGGGATGAATGCAATTGAACGCCATTCCGTCCACAGCATTGTGCCTGAGACCAAATGTAGCCCTAATAAAAAAGCTGAACACCAGAGAAGATATTTCGCGCCATGAAAAAAGGCAAAAAGTACAAAGAGTAACGATGCATTATTATAATCTCTTGTAGTATTAGCACAGATCACCTGTATTAGGTAGATACTCTCTTTTTTATTTTAGGTGCGATTTGATTTTTCTGTGTCAAAATAAATTTTTTAACCAAATACATACCTTTGTGTTTTACTTATTACAGATATAAATAGTTAAGGGCGAGATTGGGTTTCTTGTGCTATATTTTTGCTAACTAAAAAATTACACTAAACAGGGTAAATAGAAAATTCAGGGTCAGTAGAAACAAAATCAGGGAACTTAGGCAACAACGTACAAGATCAAAATCAAAACCAAACAAGAAAATCTAACCTAAAAATCTTTTGTGCAAAGTAGGCGCACGCGCATACTGAAGGAGCCACGTTGAGATATAGCCGCAAGTCCTTCCCCAGGGGTTCGAGAGTAGAGCAGTAGAGCTCCCCGATAGAACGCATGTTTTGTCCTTGTAAACGTAATCAAAAAGTAAAAGAGAATGATAAAGACGAAAAATGTGTTCTCTCGGGGAGCTCTACTCCCTGAGACGAGAATCGAACCCCAGAGAACGGTCTCTTTAACAAATAGAGATATTTTCTCTATCTCTATTGACGTGGCGTCTCTATTGATTTCCGAAACAGAGAAGAAGACAGCAAGTGCGTTAGCGATATGGATAAGGATCTTTATCCGGTACAGAGTGCCAGCTCCGGGTACCTACCTATTTTTGAAAACAAGGACCAGCGTTCTCGTGAGAACGATTTGTCTGTCTTTCTCAATGACATGCACAAATGATAATATCGAGTAACACAGACGAAAAGCTATTCTCATAGAAATGCTGCTTCCCTGTTTCAAGAATAAGGGCCCAGGAGAGAAGGTGCTCCGTGAACAAAATTTCTCCTCCTTACCGAAAAAAATAGGCGCGTAACATTTGAGTATGTTACAGGGGAATTCCTGACAAAAATGGGCAACTTTCACATTTTCAAACTATTCTGTTAGTCATTCTGATATAACATCTGTATATTGTTTTCCAAAAAAAACTTTTATTTTTGAAAATAAAATTATTTGAAAAGCGAATTTTCAAACTGTTGCGAAAACGCCGGATAGGAAAGGGACGTCACTTTCCCAAACATGCGAGAATGCCGAAGTTCTCATTAGTAAACCATTCCAAAATATGGCTGATAAAAAACCTGGCTACCTACCTAGTAACATGATCCTAAAATATTTCGTCATTTCTAATGTGGCAACATGCGCAGGAATTCTTTAGTCAATGAGAGTCACTATTGTGCGCAGTTTTTTTTTTTGGTCAACTCTTTTTGTTAACAGAGCCCCCCCCAAACCAAAATCCTGGATACGCCAATGATCGGCACAAGTTTTTGAACGCACCTCGTATTGCATCAAAATCTAACTTTTTTAACAAGCCGTTAATGCCAAAATTGTGTCAGTTTTGGCTTTATACCGAGCTCGTTCAAAAATTTGTGGGAGATTTCAAAGAAGGAAATAGGCACTTGTAATTTAGAATTTAAGAATTGTAAATTCAATTTCAAAATGGGTAAAATGAAATTCAAATTAGGATGTTACCGTTTCTGAATTACATTTTCCTATTTCCTATATCTGAATTATACTTAAATTCCTATATATCTGCATTATACTTGAATTCCCCCTTTCTGAAATACATATTTTCCGATTCTGAATTATTGCAAAGTCCCATTTCTGAATATTATGTTCCTCTTCTGAATATCAAATTTTACGTTCTGAATTACAATTCCTATCTTCTGAAATTTAATTTCCCTTTCTCAAATACATTTTTTGCTTTTTTGATTACTTTCGAAAAAGCTGTAGAGACAATCAAGGGCCAGTAATATTTCAAATTTTAATCATTACCGGCTCTTGATTCAGTAGAAAGGTACTGAGGTAGCAACCTTATGATTTAGATTTTAGAATGATTTGAAAGATCATACCTTTTTTTTCTATTATAGACAGAAAGCTGAAATTTTCACTGAATCTTATCTCGATAAAGGAACTAAAATCCCTGAAAATTTCAGCTCATTTGCACTTATAGTTCCTGAGATAAAATCGTGTTAAACAATATGGGGTGATTTATCAATTTTTCAATTATTCTGAGTGCCTTTTTTCATAGATTTCGACTTCAAATCTGAGAATAATTTAGTGTATGGAGTTTGGGGAATGGTAATTGACCATTAGAATACAAAATCTCAACAAAAAAAAAATTGAAATTTTATCGTTTTAGTAAGAAAGTAGCTACCTTATGATTTAGATTTTGGAAAACTTTGGAAGGGCATAACTTTTTTTCTATTGTAGATAGAAAGCTGAAATTTTCACTGAAATTTATCTCTATAAAGGGACTACAATCCCTGAAAATTTCACCTCATTTGAACTTAAAGTTCCTGAGATAAAATCGTGTTAAGCAATTTGGCGTGATTTATCAATTTTTCAATTTTTCTGAGTGCCTTTTTTCATAGATTTCGGCTTCAAATCTGAGAATAACTTAGTGTATGGAGTTTAGTAGATGTTAATTGACCATTAGAATACAAAATCTCGACAAAAAAAAATTTGAAATTTTATCGTTTTAGTAAGAAAGTAGCTACCTTATGATTTAGATTTTGGAAAAATTTGAAAGGGCGTAACTTTTTTTCTATTGTAGATAGAAAGCTGAAATTTTCACTGAAATTTATCTCAATAAAGGGACTACAATCCCTGAAAATTTCACCTCATTTGCACTTATACTTCCTGAGATAAAATTGTGTTAAGCAATTTGGGGTGATTTATCAATTTTTCAATTTTTCTGAGTGCCTTTTTTCATAGATAGGATAATGTACGGCCAATTTCATAATCAACTTAAAGTAAACTTTAAATTTAAAACTCTATTTGAAGTTGAAAAATCCTATCCTAAAAGTCCATTTAGCTAAAGTAACTTTTAATTCTCTATTATGAAATTGGCCGTTAGTGTATGGAGTTTGGGGGATGTTAGTTGACCATTAGAATACAAAATCTCAACAAAAAAAATCGTTTAAATAAGAAGAAAACTTTGGAAGGGCATAACTTTTTTTCTATTGTAGGTAGAAAGCTGAAATTTTCACTGAAATTTATCTCAATAAAGGGACTACAATCCTTGAAAATTTCATCTCATTTGCACTTATAGTTCCTGAGATAAAATCGTGTTAAGCAATTTGGGGTGATTTATCAATTTTCCAATTTTTCTGAATGCCTTTTTTCATAGTATTTGGCTTCAAATCTTCGAATAGTTTAGTGTATGGAATTTGAGGGATCCCAAAGGGCCATGAGGACACAAAATCTCAACAAACAAAATTTGAAATTTTATCGTTTTAGTAATTTATGATTTAGATTTTGGAAAACTTTGAAAGGTTATAACTTTTTTTCTTTTGAAGATAGAAAGCTGAAATTTTCAGTGATCCTTATATCAGTAGAGGACTACAATCTCTGAAAATTTCAGCTCATTGGGACTGGAGCCAAATCTAACTTTGATATTCAATCTTTGATTGTTACCGGCTCTTGATTCACTAGAGAATTTTTTTAGAGGCAATCAAGAGCCGGTAAAAGTTTAAATTTTGCTTCAACGTATGAATCTTCTTCACTATCGCCAAATAATTTTTCAATCAATCAAGAACCTGATGGGAAAGATCAAATTTTGCTTCAGAATTGATTTACTGGACAATCAAGAGCCGATAATAATCAAAATGTTAACGCCTGAGAATTTTTCTTAAATTTAAAACAATCAATATAATTATAAGCAAAGAGAAATATCTATACAAAATTGTATTCTCAGACAAATTATTATTTTATAACAAAACTTACATTAATTATTTCATAACTGTATCCATTTTCCATTGACACAATTCAAAAATCGTCTTTCTTTTTAGGACTCACCCACGTTGTTCATTATTACATTATTTCGATGTTTCCTGCTTTCGTATTTTCGCGCCTCGACGAAAATTTTTATCGAAAACCCAGGAAGTCGCAGGAGAGTCGCTATCCAACGGACCGTCAAAAACAAACTGATCTTCGCGTCGCTTTTCAACTTTTCATTCAGAATTCCCAGAGAGAAAGACCCCGGCACACGAGTATCGCCCTCTCCTTTATCGCCATACGCGGAAAATCCTGGGAAGTTTGAGGAAATTGGCTTATACTTATCGAAATTGGAACACTTTTGCATTAGACAAATAATAAAGATTTTAAGAGTTTCAAGCTGCAATAATTTCAATAATATGCCAAATATTAATTGACCATAGTAAAATTCCTTTGATGAATAGGAGCAGCAGGATTAATGATTCTAATAAAATTTGATTGAGGCTAGGAATTTTTTTATTGGAAATAGATCAACTCAAGTGAAAAAGCACATTAGTTATTTAGATATAAGAAGGAGCTTTTCAACAGTAGGTATATCTTTTAAATTGATCAAAACTTGATATTGATGGAAATAGAAGCCTGAAATTTCAACTTTTAGAAGTAATACCTAAGTAAGTCTAGAAGCCGAACCAAAACCTTTCAGTAACCATCATTAAAGAAAAGAAAAAAAACGCATCATACGAAACCTCTTAAGTGCATCGCGGAGGTAACTTTTCCATTTCTGTTAAACGAGTAAATCGATTGGTGAAACAATTATTTGCTCTCGGGTTTAATCAGACGTACTTCTTTGGTATCGTAAATTTAAGAAGTTGTATGTCTATGTCTTGATACAATAACCTTTTAATATTTATCGTAAGTATAGAAAATAAATTGAGGAAATTTAAATATAAAACGTTCTGTGAAATAATTCAGTCATTTGGAATGTTTTAGCACATCAATTTTCAACTTCGAAGAATACAAAACAACGTTAGATTGATGTTGACTCAATTCCAAAAATAATCAATCAGGCAGGACATATATATTTTATTTGTTTCAGGATATGTATTAGAAAGAATGTTAATGGACTTTTTCTTTATATTTTAGATATTAAAACCTAAATGTACTCAAAAAAGAATTCAATTATCACAGCGTGTGCGATTTAGCTATGAAGGACTGCCAGCAGGAACACACTGGTTCGACTCTGGAAAACAGCTGGAAGCTTCAATATATTATAGGCAAGGCACTTCGTATATTTAGAAAGCTGTTTAGGATTATATACAGAGTATTTCAGATTCCATTTTTAAATCATTATTTCCGAAACTTGTGATTATATGATGTTTTAAGTTTATAAGGGTTGAGAAAAAGTTTTTGTAGCTTTTTTATCTTTCTAATTTTTTTAAATTTTAAATTCTCTCGCTCAATTGCTTTGAATTTTCAGTATGTTTTACCTACTACAAGAATAAATCCTCAAAAATTTTTCAGGCAACACACAGCTGAGATCTTGAAGACATCCCTCCTAAGATGTCTTTTAGACGTCTGCTTATACGTCTTCAAGGCGTCTTGAAGACGTCGTATGTTGCAAAACCCAATGTCTTTCAGACGTCTTCAGGACTAATATTCCATTATTATTACTCTTTTTCAAATTTACTCTATTCCAGGCGCTAGGCTTCCTGAAAGAATTCTGAGGTTTTTATATTGTTTTGAAGCCTTCGAAAATACTGCTGGAACTGTTTTGGAATGTTTTAAATGAGTTATTGAAGTTCTAACTAGGATTGAAGAAAATTCTGGAGCATTCTAGAAGTTTTTCAGTAATTCAGGGGTGAAACTAATAATTACGATTCATCGAAAATAGGGTTTTTGTGAAAATATGGACATTTCCACCCTAGCCTCGGGCACAAATAATGCTGCAAGTTATAGGCAGTACCAATATACACCGTTAGGACTACCTATAAAGACTTGCAAATAACTTTGAGGATGGTGTAAAGGGATAAAACTAATAATTGCGATTCATCGAAAAAAAGGGTTTTTGTGGGAATATGAACATTTCCACCCTAGTTTCGGGCACAAACAGTACTGGAAATTATAGGCAGTACCAAAATACATCGTCTGACTTGCTTGACTTGCAAATTACTTTGGAGGTGGTTTAGGGGGGTAAAGCTAATAATTGCGATTTATCGAAAAAAGGGTTTTTGTGAAAATATTATCAACACCGAGCCGGCTTGGGAAAATAACACATTGTATGTACATGATTTCAATAATAAGTTTATTACGAATCGACAAAATACAAGTCATAATTAACCTGGTTAATTATGATGAGACAAGCAATAAAAGCTATTTATGTACCTAGGGGGTTATGTTGATTATAATGCCCGAAGGCACAACTAGCCCGAGGGCGTCTGGCCCGAGGGATATATTTTGCCTGAAGAGTATTATAATCTAATAATCTGTTTTGTATTTTGACATGTACCTGTACCTGTGACCTGTACCTAGAAATGAAATAAATTAATATACGTATAAACATCTCATAAGGCAAGACTAAGGTGGTCATGTGGGTAAACGCACTTGACTACATTGGAAACGTTAAATGGTAGAGCGGATTCGAATCCTGGCCAGACCGAAAATTATTTTCGGTCGGATATTTAGTGGCTGCCTAGTGTATAAGCGAGCGTTATAGATCATAACGCCCGCAAAAAGTGGGCGTTATGAATCATAATGCCTTCAGGTTGTTATAGGTATGTGTTAACTATTTCGTTTCCTAGGTATTATGGATATAGTTAAGTAGAAAATAAACGAATATAAATTGCGCCGCGAGCCGCAGCAAAGGCAGACTTAAACTATTACCTCTCGTTGGGAAAGCCCCTCTGGAATTAAGTCTCTCCACTGCAAGTACCTCTCGTTGGGAAAGCCCCTCTGGGTATCTTCAGTCTTATCGTTGTCCAGCGCCGGTACCTCTCGTTGGGAAAGCTCCTCTGGACAAGGCATAAGGGCGACGATAACTAACCGACAGTCCCCCAAGCAGCGTTGACGTGTGGCTTCCTATAAGGACCGCAGAGTTGGAAGGGTCATGCATCCTATAGGACTAGCATATTATTATATGTAAGGGCATATTTGGGAAAATATATATCTACACTTTTATACAACTTGAGCGAGTTTCTCTCCATCAACCCCCAAAGCTACAAACCCCCTATATCGCCCTCGTAAAATTTGTGACATATTTGGTGAAGGCGCCGGGCGAGGCTAGCAAATCCACCAAACAACCCACCGACATCATTGAAACAATTGAAAGAAATAGCAAGCACCATAGATAAAGCACCTAAGAAGAGCCCATAACAAAGCAGAACCCCACATTACAAACTGCCCTACCACAAAATCAATAATGGTATCTAATTATTGTGCAAAAAGGAGATACGTAATGGCTCAATGCAGATGCCGAATGCGAGCAGACCTGGCGAAAGCTTCAACACCACCAGCAACCATCAAAAAGTGCTATAACTGTGGAAAAATGGGACATTTTGCAGCTGTCTGCACAAGCCAAAGGTTAAGCGGTGACAGTAGTGTCAACTCAAGAAACCAGAGAAATAACCCTGTGTGTCACAACTGTGGGAAACCAGGACACTTTGCCGCAACTTGTAGAGGTCAGCTTAAATACCCAAACGAGCGAGGATGGCGAAACTAGATAGCCCTGCCATCCTAGCCCTATAGGGAACAACTTTAGTAACAAGATATTATCCATCACATTCAAGATAAATAACATAGAATACCCAGCCATAGTCGACACTGGAGCACAAAATAACATTATTCAAACGCAACTAGTAACGGGTCAGCTACATAAAAACGACAACACGGTTCCTATTACGGCAGGAGCACAGAATTCCAGTCTTAGGAGAAACCAGAGTACCAATAGAAATACCAGAAAGTCCGCTATGGAAAAGCACACTAACAGCCAAAGTGATCGCAACTTCAAGTCCGCTAGTAATATTGGGTACCTATGAAATTCTTAACAAGGCACAAAGCAATCATAGACTTCGCACAAAAAGAAGTGATTCTGGACGGAAAATACAAAATCCCGCTATGCCATAAAAGTGAACAAAATGCCAAGATGTCTGGGCTAATCTCCATACAAGAAGACAGAAGTAAGCAAAATCACACACACGAAAAGGACAATTTTGATGAATTTGTGAAAAACTACAAAAATATTAATAAGGACAACTTCAAGAGTGTTTTGACAGAAGAATACGGGGACATCAGAATGGAAAAACCAGATTTTGTGTGGACTACAGAATAGTATATTAAAGTATAAGTGGATATTAAGACACGCGCAATTTTTCGAGCACGACGGCGCAGCCGGAGTGCTCGAAATAGAGCAAGTGTTTTAAAGACCAGTTATCCACGAATACTTTACAGTATTTTTTTTTATTGGTATACGTTCAAATCATAAATTACTAATAATTGTAGAATGCTACATTCGTGCTTGACACTTGTTACATTTTATTTGACGTTATCTACAAGTACCTAACCTACACCTGACAAATCAATAATTAAAAAGTTGACATTTAAACCTTTCTCGGGTTGTTGGTTGTTGATGTTGTCATTGGTAACTTTAGAACACGCGCGTTTTTGAATGTTGGATTTAAACACGCTGAGGAGTAGGTACTTTAAATAAGTGAAATAGGTTATCAATAAAAAAAAAATTATTAGTGTGACAAGGAAATCAACGTACCCACTACACCAAATCGATGATATTCTATCATATTTAGGGGAGGCTTTCTACTTCAGCACCTTAGATATGTTTCCAGATTACTGGCAAGTACCGGTCGAAGAAAGCTCTAAACCATATACTGAATTTAAAGCACAAAGGCATGTATCTTACGAATTCAACGTACTATGCTTCGGACTATGTAACGTTCCAGCCACCTTCCAAGAACTAGCTGATAGAGTCTAAGATGAAAGGAAATATTGATCTACCTGGACGATATAATTATCTTTTCCAAAACAATAGAGGAACATCTGAAAAAACTAAGAAAGTTTTTTGAGCCACTGCGACAGGCAATTTTGACCCTCAAGCCAAGCAAATGCGAATACTTGAATCAAGAAATTAAAACTTTAAGCTTTCACGTCAGCGGAAAAGAAATCCTACCAGATGAGAAAAAGATAGATTTCGTCAAGAGATTTCCCATGCCAAGAAAGGTCAAAGACGTCCAGAGCTTCTTAGGACTTTGTAACTTTTACAGAAAGTTTATAAGCAACTTCTCAACAATTGCCAGGCATGATATTACGAAAAAGAGCACAAAGTTCCAATGGGGTATTAGAGAGGAAGAAGCATTCAAGGTTCTCAAAGACAAGCTCACCTCAGCACCAGTACTAAGGCATTTCGACCCAAATAAAGACACCATCTTACACACTGATGCATCCACATGCGGAATCAGAGCAGTACCTACTATTACAAAAAAGCGAAGGAAGTGCACATCCAATAGCTTTCATAAGTCGCAGTCTGTCAAACAGCGAAAAAAAACTATTCAATCAGCGAACTGGGAGCTATTAGGAGTGGTCTGGGACCTAAGCTACTTGAGGCATCTAATATACGGCCGATCAGTAAAATCGTGACTGATCACCACGCGCTTTGCTGGATGGATTCAAAAAAAAAAGCAACAGACGCTTAGCCAAGTGGGCACTCAAGTTAGCAGAATTCGACTTTACAATTGTTTATAAGAAAGTTTCAACGCATAGAGATGCTGATTGTAGGTCGCGCAACCCAGTACTCCAACCAGAAATCAAAGAGAATGAAGGACAGGAAGAACTTCCAACTTTTGCGTTGAGAACAGAGGAAATTTGCACGTTACAAAAAAATTACCAAGCGGTGAGACAACTTAGAAATGCAGTAGAGAATCCAGGAGACCCAGACATCAACATAGGCATTCGAAAAAGGACAAGAAATTTTAGAGTCGAAAATAACCTACTGTATAAAATTAATAAAACGCAAAAAGGCTTAGAGAAAGTGCTAGTGATTCCATGCTTCGCCAACATGTGACATTTCGGCTTAAGCAAAACAACGGATAAGATAAAAAGACGATTTTTTTGGGACGGAATGCTGAAGGACATAGACAAATATATTAAGGGATGCCAAGAATGCCAAGCAAGAAAGGGACAGCCATATAGGAAAACCCCAGGGTTTTTACAACCAATCCAGGTGGAGACGATATTTGATAAAATAGGGCTTGATCTTCTAGGCTCGTTCAGAACAAGTAATCAAGAAAAACCAAGATAGTAGTGGCTACGGACTATGCATATCAAGATACGCCATCACAGCTGCCCTACCATGAAAAAGCAGGGCCAGTAGCGAATTTTTTACTGAAAAGAGTATTCTTGATACATGGAATGCCTAGTTCACAACGGCCTACCACCCCTGCTGACAGAGAGACTGAATAAAACAATAGCAGATATGCTATCCATGTATTGCAACACGCAGCAGACAGATTGGAGTAGCTACCTACCGTTTATTGCATTGGGCTCTGGACTGAGTAGGGGCTAGGAACTTCAAACTAGAAAAAACAAATGGGTATGGACCAAAAGTAGACAGACCACAGTACCATTTCCAGCACATTCACAAAAGAAATGATCAAGGATTACTTGGGCCGTGGGACTGCGCAAACCCACGACCCAGATGACTAAATCACCAGGAAGTACTTGGAACCAGAAGCAACTCACTTAAAAGACAGAATACAGAACCGGAACAAAGAAGGAAACCAATAACTAGAGCTGTATAGGTGATACATTTTGTTAAGTTATAAATTATTGTGTTTTGTAGCCTGAATAATAATGCACCCTTACCCATCCCAAAGTAATTTATGGTAAACTTGTTATTTTAATTTTTTTTTAGTGTTTAGTGATTAGGATGTATTTTTAGTGACTAGGATATTTTGTAAATGTTGTATATGTTTTTAAATGTAATGGATGTCTCTTCTAAGTAGGGACCAATGCTTCTCGAAGGGGGGGGTATAATATGTCAACACCGAGTCTGCTTGGGAAAATAACACAGTGTACATGATTTCAATAATGAGTTTATTACGGATCGACAAAACACCAGGTACCAGAGGCGGAACCACGAACAATCGCTATCGATAAGTTCTCGACAAGTTCTCACCTCGTCCACCCATCGCTCAACGTTAGTCGCCAAAATTGCCACCGCAAACGTTCGTTTGCACCGCAAATGTTCGTTTGTGGTGGCAATTTTGGACCCTAACGTTGAGCGATGGGTGGACGAGGTGAGAAATGAGGGGAAATTGTCGAGAACTTATCGATAGCGATTGTTTGTGGTTCCAGTGCTGGTTAAATTATGAAGAGACAAGCAATAATCGAATATAAATTGCGCCGCGAGCCGCAGCAAACGCAGACTTGAACCAGTGCAATTACCTCTCGTTGGGAAAGTCCCTCTGAAATTAGGTCTCCCCAGTGCAAGTACTTCTCGTTGGGAATAAGCCCCTCTGGGTATCTTCAGCCTTATCGTTGTCCAGTGCCAGTACCTCTCGTTGGGACAGCTCCTCTGAACAAGGCATAAGGGTGATGGTAACTAACCGACAGTCCCCCAAGCAGCGTTGACGTGTGGCTCCCTGTAAGGTCCCCAGTGTTGGAAGGGTCATGCATTCTATAATAGAACTGCATATATGTTTAAGGGCATATTTGGGAAAATATATATCTACACTTTTACACAACTTGAGCGAGTTTATCTCCATCAACATCCAAGCTACAAACGCCCCATGTCACCCCCGTAAAACGGGCATTTGTGACAATATGAACATTTCCACCGGTACAGATGATACTAAAAGTTATAGCAACGGTTATAAGCAGTACCAAATAATATACCTATATCGTTTTAGAATACCTACCTACCTCGTTTCACTTGCAAATTACTTTGAGGGTGGTTTAAATAAGGGGTTAAAACTAATAATCGAAAAAACGGTTTTTGTGAAGATATGGACATTTCCATCCTCGTCCCGGGCAAAAATGGTACCTACTGGAAAGTTATAGGCAGTACCAATATGGGAACATCGAAAAAAGAGTTTTTGTGAAAATATTATTATAATAGTTTTGTGAGAAAAAGGACCATCGCAGGTACAACGATACAGGTAGGTGTATTTAAAATTTTATGGAAAGTTAAAAAAAAAAAATTAAAAAAAAATAAACTGACCCACTGATCAATCGGCAATGTTCTGCAGTTTGGCTGCTAACTTTTAGCTACCAAGTTCACATCAGTGAAATATAATAAAACCTATATATCATTTAAAAGACTTAAGTAGGTATAGATAGGTACTTGAATGACTAATTTTTTCAATAAACTCACAAAACTATAGAAAACTAAGCGAGACCAGAAAGGAATAAGACAGATGGTGCCACTGATAATTATTAAAGCCTCGATGGCACCACAGTTTTTGCGCTTTATAACAATTTATGGCAACCTAAATAGTGAAGAATCAAATCATTACTATACACGCTGTTTACAGAAATGTAAACACATTTTTTTTTGTTTGTCGTTGGTTGCCATTCCACACCTTTTTTGTTTATTTTGTTGATGCATATTGTCAAAAATTATGTGATTATTTGAAAAGTTTGCTGCTCAAAAAGGTAAGAATTATGAATTTTACATCAAAAAATTGAAAGGACCCAGAGCCTGATTTATTCATTACAGTAGCTTTATTTCTAAAAAATGATAGACAACAATAATAATTTCGATTGCATTAAAATAAAAACTGAGCCACCTGAAGAAGAAACTCTCATTGATATCAAACAAGAACCTATCGATATCAAACAAGAACTTCTCGATATAAAACAAGAACCTCCCAGCACTAAATCAGTTGTGCTCAAATTCAAAAAGAAAATCGACGGAAATTATTTTGTGATTCCCCTATTGACCCCTGATCCATTCTACGAAGTCAATCTTGAAGACGATAAAACTTCAATAAAAATAAAACAAGAAAAAGAAGAAAAATCAACAAAAACCAGCAGCTATTGTCAAAGATGTTCGTTTTATGCGAAACATGAAAAAGAAAAACTTAAAAGACATCAACAACGGGTAATAATAATAAAGTGAAAACTTATAATTAATAATTATGATATTTTCTTAAAGGTCCATCCAAGAAAAACCTGGAAATGCATTTTTTGCAACAGAAACAACTTCAAAGAAAAAATCACCTTACAAATGCACTTGTTATATCTACATAGAGACAACCAAGAGGCTATGCAACAAATCACAAAACGGATTTTCTCTTGCAAAGTGTGCACTTACAAATCACTTAAAAAGAACAATTTTAAGCGCCACTTAATTACACACAAACCTAAAACCAAAAATACCAAATCTGACTTGAAGTAATTTGAGTTTAAATAAGTGAAATATTTCTATTAAACTAATGCAATTTTAGGAATATTAATAAAGGCAATCCTTTTAACTGTTACCATTGTCCTTATGGTGCAACTTCTAAAGGCTCAATAATAAAACATGTAAGACTGCACAAGCCTGCTGAATACAAACCATATACTTGTACCAGTAATTAGCAATTATTTTTGTTTTTAATTTAATTTAATAAAACTTATCTATTTTAGAGTGTAATACAAAATACAACGAAAAAGGCTGTTTGGATTCCCACATAGTCAAACACCACTTGGACAGTAAAGAATTGATTGCCAGCCTTACGAGCAAGATTTATAAATGCGAATTTTGCAATTACAAAGATGTTAATAAGGCGAAGGTGTCACGCCATAAAGGACTCAGGCATTAAATTTTAGATTTAAGTAATTTGTTAATTAGTTTTAGAAAGAATAATTTATTTTTTTTTGCTTTGGAGCGCCTACCAGTGACGTCACAAATGCCTTGTCAAATGCGACAATCGTAAATATTAAAAATCCTTGTTTGAATTTTTCATTTTGTAAACAAATTGTTATTATTTTATTTTTATTTGTTAACTATTGCGATATCGATTGAAAATTCGTGAATGGGCAATTAAAAACCAATAAAGCACTAAATCGATTTGCCCATTGTGTTGTCAGATAAGGGGGATATTGTAAAATAGCAAAAATGTTAGTTTAAAGTTTGACCTACCGAGAGCAAAAGGTCAGAAAAACTGGTTGAATCAGTAATTTTAGATAAAAAAAGTGTTTTTTTTGAGTAATAAGTTAAGCAAAGAAGATGATCAAGTTGAGAAATTGCACTCAAATTTATGGGAAATTGAATGGCATACATTTGAGGTTTGCTTCTAGTGTTCCTCGACAAAAACAGGTAAGGATTTTTGTTGGATTTAAAAGATAATTGTTGATGACCACACCTTGAAATGGTCCATGAGAGCCGTGTGTATTCATAATTCTATTTTGTACCATTTTGTCTATACTTATTTCCAGCACTTTTTTTTGTAAATTTTGTCCTGGATATTTCAATTTCTTTATCACTTTTAGCTCCTCATCATCATCACTTTCCTCTCCTTCCTGTATCATCTTCATGATCGTAGATTGTAGATTGTATTTGGAGTTGTTACAGCTTATTCCGGTCACACAAGCACTGCTACCTTTCCAGATATTTTGCATGTGACTCAACTTCACATCAACTTTTTCACAAAGAGGAAACTTCAATAATTCATAAATCCTGAAAGTTTCAAGTCACTGTGATCATTAGAAGTATTTTGCACAAGGGATTTTTGCAGATTTTAATCATGTTTTGCATGCATTACCTTAAGAAAAAACTTCTTAATTTGATTTGCAGCTTCAAATTAACTTTTCCACAAAGAGAAAGCTTCAATTCATAAATCCTGAAAGATTCAAGTCACTGTGATCATTAGAAGTATTTTGCACAAGGGATTTTTGAACATTTTATTCATTTTTGAATGCATTAATATGAGAAAAAGCTTCTAAATTTGATTTGGAGCTTCAAATTAACTTTTCCACAAAGAGGAAACCTCAATTCATAAATCCTGAAAGTTTCAAGTCACTGTGATCGTTAAAAGTATTTTGCACAAGGGATTTCTTGAGGGGCTTTTCACCTACCAAAATTTGTACACCGATTTCCATTTTTCTTAATATTCACGGTATTTCCATGTATTTTTGAGTATTTCTAAGTATTTCCAAGTACTTTTGAGTATTTCTTAGTATTTATAAGTATTTCCAAGTATTTTCAGGTTTTTCCAAGTACCTATTTGTCTATCGCAAGCCGTGCGGAAAAAAAAATCCCGTCCGGCGTGCGGGAAAAATATAGTTTCCGAACGAGGGGTAAACCACTTTGCGCAATACTGTCACAAATCGCGCGAAATCCCTGCGCAATCATGCAAAATCGCGCGCAATCGTTGCGAAATCAGGCGAAATCGCGCGCAATCGTTGCGAAATCGGGCGCAATCCTTGCGAAATCGCGCGCAATCCTTGCGAAATCCTGCGAAATCGCCAGCAATCCCGCGAAATCACTTAACTTTGCGAAGTCGGAGCCTCGTTCAAATGCGGAATTTCAAGGCTGACCAATCAGAACTATTCAAAGAAATTGGTGGGAAATTCCTGCTTCTGACTTTTGTAGTCGTAATAATCGTTGTGTAAACGATTTTATAATTATTGTGTGTCACCAGTGTCTGTATCAGTTATTAAGTGATTGATTTTCAAAATTATCATATACAGTGTGTCCCGCTTTTCATGAATACACCCCGATATCTCAGTTATTAATAATGCGATTTCATTCAAATTTTGGTGGTGATTGTATGTTAGAAAAATGAACTATTTGACATAGTAAACATTTTCATTTACCATTGGCGTGCGGTGTTGAGGGGTAAAAAGTGGTTGTATTTCTGTGAGAAAGATATTAGGGCTTATTTGAGATAATTTTTTGCATCAGCATCAGATTAAGAATCAGTATCCCTAAAAACCTCTGAATTCATATTTCCAAAATCTCAAGAAATGATTATAGCAAAAAAATCAATAAATTTATTTTAATTCAATTTTTCTAATAAGCTGTGTATTTCTAATTAGAAGGTAACTATGGTTTATTTTTTTCCAAGATAGATTTTGGCATTGTCAACTTTGAAACATAAACAATGCCGTTAATGTCGCTTATTGGTCGCTATTGTAAAACTGATGTCAACCTGCAGAAACACCTCATATTTCGACCAATCAGGGTCAAGCGTTATTGTTTATGTTTCAAAGTTTTCAATGTCAAAATCTATCTTGGGAAAAAATAAAGTGTACATATGTTGAAAATACAATATTCTAAAATAATGTCATCTGTAATTTGAGGTTCACAATTAAAAATATACAACTTATTCCAAATAGTGAATTGATATCTATTTTTTTTTGGTTTAAAATTAGCTCTTGAGAATTTAAAATACATAAATTAAGGGGTTTTTGGGGAATTTTAATCTGATGCAAAAAATTATCCAAAATAAGCCCTAATATCTTTTTTTCCAAAAATACAACCCCTTTTTACCCCCCAACACCGCATGCCAATGGTAAATAAAAATGTTTACTATGTCAAAAAGTTAATTTTTCTTACATAAAATCACCACCAAAATTTGAATAAAATCGCATTATTAATAACTGAGATATCGGGGTGTATTCATGAAAAGCGAGACACACTGTATGTACAGGGTGGGCCAATTTGGACACTTTTAATAGGAAACGTCAATTTCTGAGCGAGATACAAAAAAATGAACCCCCCCACTCTGAGGCTCAAATTTCATGAAATTTTGATTGGTGCAAACCGCATTTTGATATCTTCAATCGTTTAGCCGCTAGAGGGCGATTCTCGATTTTGAGCGAGATTTTGAGCAATATTGTGAAACCTTCATAACTTTTTTGTTTATGAAAATAATTGATTTCCGTAAAAACTTTCTGGAAGCACTTTTTTAAGTAGAATTCAGTGACGTTCTCAGTTTTTTTCTATTTGGCGCCGATTATGAGATATTGACCAAAGTCTGATTTTTTCAATGGGACACCCTGTTCTATATTAATAGCTCATTGAAAAGCTATGATTTTTCTGATTTTAATGATATCAAGTTCGATGGGTTGATCTCTGACCGTTTTCCAGAAAAAAAATTATTTCGGTTTTTCTCATAAGAAGCAATGTGATAAAAAAGGAAAATGAAAAAGGTCTCTTTCTAACACATTGTTTCTTATGACAAAACCAAAAAACGGTTAGAGATAAACCTATCGAACCTAGGGTTGCCACTTGTCCTTTTTTGAAAAGGACAGTCCTTTTTTCAAACAAATTGTCCTTGTGACTTTTTAAACCTTAAAATGTCCTTTTTAAAAACTATTTCAATAGGGTAGTCCAAAAAATCGGTTTTAATGGCCGCTGCATGAGAAACCAGCCAGTTGCCCATATACTTTGTGCTATTTAGTTCTATTCGAAAAGGCGTTTTAAATTTTTTCCTGAGAATTTCATACATCTGTCAAAACTGGTATTCCAACAATGAATTGACATGTTTTGATTGTTGATTTGAACCAATCAGATTGTAATTACGCGATAATTGCATACTAACTGGTGCGAAAACTGGTGTTTTGACATTTTTTGACAAAAAATTAAAATTTTTGATTTATGAAATTCTCTCATTAAATACAACTCGTGCAATGGAAATATATTTATAATTTTCGACAAATTTGCACTCATGCGTTTTTAACTGAAAAAGGCACTCGTGCACTACGTGCACTCGTGCTCTTTTTCAACTAAAAATGCATTCGGGCAAATTTCCCAAAAATTAATCAATAATTTCCATTGCACTAGTTATATTACTATTGATAATTTTATTGCGTTTTTCATATTTTGAACTGACTTCACCATGACTTCACTCATTTTATATCTTTTGTTTTATAATATAACAAACTACACAGACGTATAAATTTAAAGAATAGGCGATTATTATACCTATTTAATTACAAGTCGAGAACTCTGGGGATTGAGGATTGCCGAGCAACTAGCACTACTGCTACAATTTACAACACAGCAAAATGCGGGCATTACAATACATAAAATTAACAAAATTGTATTGGAATACCTCAAATTTCCATAAGGATACAGTAAACTTAGGTTTGTCCAACAGAAGCCATGTTTATTCCGTTTTTGACAGTTCGTTGGAGTGCCCTATAGTACCACCAAGTACCACTATTTTTCGAGATGAGCTTAAATATTCATTTTTTTTAGCTCCCTTTCGCGACCATTTTACTTGCATTAAGATATTTTTTTTGAAATGTCCTTTTTTCACTTTTAAAGAAAGTGGCAACCCTAATCGAACCTCATATCATTAAAATTAGAAAAATCATAGCTTTCGAATAAGCTATTAATATATAGGGTATCCCATTGAAAAAAACCGGACTTTGGTCAATATTTCGAAGTTGAGGCCAACTAGAAAAAAATTGTGAACGTCACTGAATTCTGCTGCAAAAAGTTCTTCTAGAAAGTTTTTAGGGAAATCAATTATTTTCATACATTTTATTACCAAAAAGCAACAAACTTGAATAAAACCAAGGGAATAATTTTGAATTTTGCCTACATAATTTTTTCTTGAGTGGTATTCGGCTGGACTATTTCACGAGAAAAACAAGTCAAATTTTTATTTGGAAAATTTATTTTCATTAGGTGACACTTGTCAAACTTAATAGTTTTTACTCTAACCACACAAAATTTTGTTGCTGAGAAACCATCATGTTGGTTTGGTCCCGGTAGGAGTTTTGTCAGTGGGAAACCGGCCATTCCTATGACATTTTACCAGTGTAAAACACTCTATTAAAATAGTCCAGTGTAAAATACTCTAAAGTTTGTTTTTTTTTTAAAGATAATTTCCCAAGCAGAGCTGGGCAGGGCTTGAGTGCTTTGTGCTTGCGAAAGTGCTTGAAGCACTTTGAGGACTTGAAAGCCCTGGGCTTCAAGCCCTTTTATAGATTTGTAATTGGGGCTTGCAAAGTTAATTACTTTAGAAAAGTGCTTGGTAATTTGTAATTGAAAAAAGTAATTCAAGCCCTTTCAATGAGCTTCAATTACTTTTAGAGGGCTTGAAGCACTTTTGGGAGCTTGGAGCCCTTTGAAAGGGCCTGAAGCACTTTAAGAGGGCTTGAAGCACTTATAGGAGCTTGAAGCACTTTGAAAGGAATTTGAATTGACCATCATTCAACCCTCGATTCAACCTATCCCCCACTTAAAAATTTTCGATCGTGTTTTGTCCCTTAATTTTTTTTTCTATTATTTGAACTTGAACCGTCTTATGTCTTTTCTCTCTTAACAATGGAGGTTTTGGGTTTGAGCTTAGAATGGAATTTGAAAAACAATAAATGAATTTATTATTCAAATAAATAATTAATTTATATTGGTACCCCATTTAACTTTATCACTGGATTTTTTTCACTTTTCCCCATTGAACATTTTGAAAACCTTAAAATTAAATTACCATGTAGTACCCCAACTACCCCAAGTACCCCACAACTTCATCTCAAAAAAAAAAACATACTACTGCTACTCTGTGAAATGTAAAGTTTGTCTCTATTCTACCAATTCTGTGCGCTGAGTGTACGCGGTAGCTTATGCCACTTTGAAAATTTTATTACAAATTCAAAGTGCTTTAGGCACATTTAAAGAGCTTCAAGCTCATTTAAAGTGCTTGGAGCACATTTGAAGAACTTGAAGCCCTTTTCAAGGCACCCCAAGCAGTTTTGATGTGCTTCAAGCACTTTTCAAATCACTTTGAGGGCTTTGTGTTCGTCAAGCACAAAGCACTTTGAGGGCTTTGTGCTTGTGAAGCACTTTTGAAAATAAAAAGGAATTTGTGCTTGAAATTGAAGCACTTTGATAGAGGGCTTAGGGCTTAGTGCTTCAAGCCCTTTTACTGAGGGCTTTGCCCAGCTCCGTCCCCAAGTCAGAAATTTAGTAACTATGTTGGCAACACAAGCCTTTTCTACATAAAAATTTTGAATGCATTGACAATTTTACATTGTATTGCCAACATAATGTCATTTTGACTTTTATCTTTAAAAAAAAAGAGTTTACAGTTTATTTTTTCCCAAGATGGATTTTGACATTGTCAACTTTGAAACATAAACAATGCCGCTAATGCCGCTTATTGGTCGCAAAATGGCATTTGCACGACATGTATTGTAAAACTGATGTCAACCTGCAGGGACACCTCATTTTGCGACCAATCAAGGCCAAACATAAACTTTTCAAAGTTTTCAATGTCAAAATCTATCTTGGGATAAAATCTCGGATAAAATAGATTGTAGTGAAATAATCAAGAAAAAATTAAAAGAATATCTGTGATTTGATTTCAATAAAAGAATTACTTACGGTTTTTTTTTTGTACCTAGAGTGTTTTTACATGATATATCTAGGTATAATATTCACTGGAAGAAGTCCCAAATAAAATACTTTAAATTAGGAGAAATCCCGCGCAATCCCGAGAAAATCTGAGCAATCACGAGAAATCCTGCGCAATCACGCGAAATCCTATGCAAATTCGAGAAATCCCGCGAAATCTTGTACAATTCTGCGAAATCCCGTGCAATCATTACGAAATTTTGCGAAATCCCTAATTTTGCGCAATACTGTCACATTTTCACCCTAGTGGTTTATCCCTTGTTTTCGAATTAAAATGCGTGCAGGAAAGTGACGTTTTACGCATGCTTTTAGACAAAAACCTTTTCTAAAGCTGGTGCGTAGCAAAGAACATTTTTGGTATTTGTGGACAAAAAGAAAAATTCTGCATGAGGTCGATAAACACATATAGGGTATCAAATTTTAGGGACACTTTTTACAAACAACAAAACAATTTTCTTTGACGGCATAATGTATTACAAATAAATCTAGTTTCTACAAGAGAAACCTGTTCTCGGACCAGTTTAATCACTTCAAATGAAAGATCACATGGTATTTTTTCAACAGTGTCATCTCTTATTAGCTCGCGGAGGATTAGCAAAACTCTCCTATAGATTTGTCTACAACTGCTTTGCGCATGCACGCCTGTTGACGTCACTTTGGAGAGACCACATAAATTGACCAGCAATTCGACAAGGATAAAAACTGTTCAAATTTCAAACTATTTTTAATACACTGGGAAACAATTTTCTACACAACAAGGAAATTTTTTTGCCAAACATAAATAAGATAAAAATGGCACTTAAAATGTATACAGGATGTCCCAAATTCAAGCAGTTCCATGATGATATTGGAAACGGTAAGAGATACAGGGTCGGTTAAATTATGGTAAACTTTTGCCATTTTATGCTTCACAAAATACCATTTTGAAAGTTTAAAAATTCCGAATAGTATATTGGGAATTATTCAAAATTTTGCAGAAGCGTTTTTATTTTTTTCTTAGCTTACATATTTGAAGATATTTCCCAAAATAAATAATAAATGTCACTTCATCATTATCACTGTTTCTCCCATAGAGTTTCTCCTTTACAAGATGTCACCATCAAATTCAAAATCTGACATTTTGTCTATGGGCCACCATCAACTTTTTTTTTTAATTATTGGCACTTTCCATAAAAACTAAATGTGTTAGAGAGAGACAAGGAAGAGAGAGAATTTTGGTAGGAAATTACTAAAAAGTAAAAAAAAAATATATTTTTTTCGAATAAATGCGGTGTGTCCGAGGGTATGTCATAGGTTTTGGTATAATGCATAATTTAACCAACCCTGTATCTCTTATCGTTTCCAATACCCCGATGATACTGCTCGAATTTGGACACCCTGTACACACTTAAGTACCTTTCAATAAGTTCTCACCAAGGTTATCACAATAAAACTAACTTGGACTGTAAAAATTCAAAAAAACCTATTTATGAGAAAAAGCAGCGCTCAGGAAGCTCATAAACATACTGTTTTCTCACATCGTTGGCACCATTACCAAGTATTTCAAAGTATTTCTAGGTATTACCAAGTATTTCTAGGTATTTCTCAGTATTTCTGAGTATTTCCAAAGTATTTCTAGGTATTTCCAAATATTTCTAGCTATTTCCAAGTATTTCCAGGAATTTGTACACCGATTTCCTTGGGTGAAAAGCCCCTCGGGATTTCTACAGATTTTATTCATTTTTGAATGCATTACTTAATGTGAGAAAAAGCTTCTAAATTTGATTTGGAGCTTCAAATCAATTTCAAACTTTTTCATAAACTGGAAACTTCAATTCATAAATTCTGAAAGTTTTAAGTCACTGTGATCATTAGAAGTATTATGCGCAAGGGATTTTTGCAGATTTTAATCATTTTTGGCATGCATTAACTTAAGAAAAAGCTTCTTAATTTGACTTGCAGCTTCAAATTAACTTTTCCACAAAAAGGAAACTTCAATTCATAAATCCTGAAAGTTTCAAGTCACTGTGATCATTGGAAGTACTTTGCACAAGTGATTTTTGCAGATTTTTATAATTTTTTTATGCATTAGCGTGAAAAAAAAGCTTCCAAATGTAGTTTAGAGCTTCAAATTAACTTTTTCACAAAGAGGAAACTTCAATTCATAAATACTGAGAGTTTTAAGTCACTGTGATCATTAGAAGTACTTTGCACAAGTGATTTTTGCAGACTTTATTCATTTTTACATGCATTAACTCACTAATTCAAAAACTCCTCATTTTTATATCAGAACGACTCATTAGTCCAAAATTTCATTCATTTTCTGTAGAATTCCAGTGGGATTCCGTTAAAAGTGGGATTCTAGTATGCACATTTTCCAAGGTGTTTTACCCCTCGGTTGAAACTAAGACGAAAATTGAAAACGTCTAAGACAGCAATTTCTTTTTTCACCTTGATTTTATCAAGATTTTGATATTATTTTGATATTGATGAAATCCCAATGGAAAAGACTTCATAGCTTTAATCATGTATTTAAACTTCAAGAAGCTAATTATTAACAAGTTTTGCTTCATTTAAAGATCAAAGACGACCCAATAACAGACACTTTTGGCCGCCACCACACTTACCTAAGAATATCCTTAACAGAAAAATGTAATTTGAGATGTAAGTACCTAAACTCCAGTGGTTTTCAATAAATTACATCATTTTTCCTGTTCATATTATTCACAGGTCAATATTGTATGCCAGAAGAAGGAGTGAATCTAACAGCAAAATCCAATCTGCTAAGCACAGAAGAAATTTTAAAAATAGCTAACATTTTTGTGAAAAATGGAGTCAACAAAATAAGGCTCACAGGAGGTGAACCAACAGTAAGGAAAGACCTAATTCAAATCATTGGTAATCATTTTCCAATAAAATTTAAAAAAATCAAAACACAATAATATCATTTTCATTATTAGAAAACCTAAAATCAATTCCTGGTTTGCAAACAGTTGCAATGACGACAAATGGACTAACCCTCACTAGACAACTTGTAGCATTCCAAAAAGCAGGCTTGGACATTTTGAATGTGAGCTTGGACACTTTAAATCCGGAAAAATATGAAAAAATCACTAGAAGAAACGGTTGGAAACGGGCCATGATGGGTATAGATTTAGCCTTGCAATTGGGCTATAATCCAGTCAAAATAAATTGCGTTGTAATGAAGGGCATTAACGATTCAGAAGTAATTGATTTTGTGGAATTGACTAAAAACAAAAATGTGGATGTACGTTTTATTGAATATATGCCATTTTCTGGAAATAAATGGAACGAAAATAAAATGGTTTCTTACAAGGAAATGGTTGATAATATAAAAAGTAATTATACAGGATTTTATCCTATGATTAATAAACCAAATGATACTTCAAAGGTAACACATATTTGTTTAAAAATTAAAACAAAATTATGTGTTTATTGTTTTAAGGCTTGGAAAGTTCCTGGTTACAAAGGCCAAATTGGTTTCATAACTTCAATGAGCGAACATTTCTGTGGCTCTTGTAACAGATTGCGACTGACTGCCGACGGAAATTTGAAAGTTTGCCTGTTTGGTAACACTGAAGTGTCCCTAAGAGACGCTTTAAGGGCTCAATGTTCAGAGGACGATTTGACTGCTCTTATTGGAGCTGCTGTTAAGAGAAAGAAGAAACAACATGCTGGTAAGAATTTAAGGATGTTCTTCTATAATTGGAGGACATTTTTAATTAAAAAAATGTAATAATATTATTGTGGTGTTTGGGTTAGTTTCCTTAGGAAAAAAACAACAAATTTATATTCTTTACAGGCATGTTCAATTTATCACAAATGGAAAATCGTCCAATGATTCTTATTGGTGGATAGAATACTATTAGTAGTTTAATTTTTAGATTTTATTGAAGAAAGGTAAATGAGTTTTCAAGGGGATTTTTGTTAGAAACATTGTAGATGTTTGCATGCAAAAAATTGACTACTCAAATCAACAGATTAATAATTATTTTTCAGACATATCAAATTCCAATAATTGGCTGTGGAACGCAACAAAATCTTGGCCTGAATTGTCCCATTTATACGCTAAAACCCAAAATTTTAAAAACACAAGATTATATTATTCAACTGAAGACCAACCCAGGAATTATTTGACTCACATTGACACTAAAGGCAAAGCCTCCATGGTTGACATTATCCAAAAACCTATCACTGTGCGTACGGCAAAAGCTGTTGCAACAGTAAAAGTAGGCCCTCAAATATCAAAACTCATAAGCGAAAATAATGTAAAAAAAGGTGACGTGCTAAGCATTTCACAAATATCCGGAATTTTAGGTGCTAAAAAAACTTCAGAAATCATCCCTCTATGTCACAATATTTCTTTGACAAAAATCAACGTAACTGCTGCTTTGGACAGAGAAAACGAACAAGTTAAAGTTTTCTCAGAAGTTCAATGTGAAGGTAGGACAGGCGTTGAAATGGAAGCTCTGACAGCTGTCAGTGTAGCTGCTCTGACAATTTATGACATGTGCAAGAATGTCAGCAGAGACATAGTCATAGCGGATATTTGTTTGCTGAGCAAAAGTGGTGGACGAAGTGGGGATTTTGTTAAGGAAGAAGTTGAAGTGAGGGAATATGATCATAGGCCTATAACCAGATTAGCACCTTTTGTGGGACCAATGTAATTGTTTTTTTGTTTAATTATTTGATACTTTTCTATTGTGTATAATAGGGATTTAGGTCACAAAATATATTTTTATATACATGCTATTAAAGCTATTTTTTATATATTATGTATTTACATTTTATTGAATAAATATTTCAAAGTTATTATTGTCTCATTACATTGGTTTTTTTTGGTGCGGCTTCAAAAACAAATTATCTTCAGGCATCAAAATTCTAGAACAAAAATTGAAAAAAAAAATCTGATATATGCTCTTTGACAAAAATTCTTACATATTTGCGTTGGTTCCTGGCATAGGTATGGGTGCCATTTTTTGTTCTTCAGGCACTTTTACGGTAAGCGAACTTTTAGGACCAGTTTTCCAAGTATTACTTTGTTCATCAATGACAGATGCTTCAACATCTATAAAAATATAAATTGGAACAAAATATCATTGAATATAAAGTTCACTTACTTAAAAGATATTGACCTCCCCTGGGAAAAGCAAGCAAAAACTGAGCAGAGAAAAAGTCTTTGTGTGGTGTAACTGTTTGGGTGAGCACTGACACTTGCTCCAAAATCTAATACAAAAAAATTATTACAATAACCCCTAAAATAACAATAATTACCTTTGGATCAATTTCCTTGTTCTTAGCAGGACTTTGCAACTGTGACGTCACATTAACGACCACTTGGGAAATTTTCCTAAACAGGCCTGGTTTCATACCGTGCTGTATCACTCCTTCGACTTTAACAGCCAATTGTGAACCTGCCTGAACGCTTATAAATTCACCCATTACCCTAGGCTGTGGATTAATGGCCAATTTCACCATGGTGGATTGAAGGATTTGGAAAAAGAACCGTGGAACTGGCAGGGAGGCGTTTGCCAAAATTTCAACGATTTTTCTGAGAATTGCCACTTGCTACAAAATAATTTGTTAATGTATTTTTTATACAATCTTTGCAGGAATAATTTTGAAATTTTATGGATGAAAAGAGAAAGAATGGGAGCTCATTAAGGTGAAATTTCAGATTGATTCAATGAAAAACATCAACATGAAAAATTCTTGAAAATCAACTTCTAGAAACTAGATTTTACAAAAAACACTCTTGCATACGTATTTGATTTTTTTCCTGGAAAACTGTTGCAAAAATAATTTTGAAATTTTCAGGAAGGGAAGAGGAAGAATGGGAGCTCATTCAAGTGGAATTTCAAATTGATTCAGTGAGAAACATCAACATGAAAAATTCTTAAGAATCAACTTCCAGAAATTAGATTTTACAAAAATTGCTCTCACATATTTGATTTTTTTTCCTGGAAAACTGTTGCAGAAATAATTTTGAAATTTTCTGGATGAAAAGAGGATGAATGGAAGCTCATTTGGGTGAAATTTTCAAATTTGTTCAGTGAAAAACATCAACACGAAAAATTCTTAAAAATCAACTTCCAAAAACTAGATTTTACCAAAAACACTTTTGCATATTTCATTTTTTTCCTGGAAAACTGTTGCAGGAATAATTTTCTGGAAGAAAAGAGGAAGAATGGGAGCTCATCCAAGTGAAATTTCAAATTGATTCGGTGGGAGACATCAACTCGAAAAATTCTTGAAAATCGACTCCCAAAAACCAGATTTTACCAAAAACACTCTGGCAATTTATTATTTTTTTCTGGAAAACGGTTCTTATGCTTGTACCTTATGTGTAATATTACAGGTGGCGCTGTGTTCCAATAAATTCTGAGCTACTATTAAACTATTGTCACAAGCCCTAACCAACTCTCTAGATTCCAGTTTTATGGTTTTAGTACCAAACTCCATTGGGCCTTCTCGCAACTTTGATCCACTCGTGCAAACAGTTTCCAAACATTGTTCCACTAATACGCACATTTGTTGCAAGCTACAAAAATACTATAGATAAACAGACAATAACGTTACAAACTCTTACATTTGCATATTTTCCAGAGTGGCAGGATCAGCATCAAAAGCAGTCTGATACAATTTCCAATGCAAATCGCCGCAATTTTTAAACTCCTTCACACACTTGCGCATTTGATTTGTAACATAGCCGTATCGTTGATGCTCATCTCTAGTATTTTGCACTATAGCCGAAGCAATTGCAGGAGCTGGCACTATACACAGTATATTGCAAGTGTGAATTAGCTGAGCCAAACATTGCAGGAATTCTACCCTTATTCTCATATATTCGGCTTGGAAGGTTAAGTTATGAGATGGGGTACTTGCAGCCTGAAATCGTTTACATACAAACCAAACTAATTATTACAAATTCAATTACCTTTAAGGCTGCAATAGCTTTATTATAGTGTATTATGGCTTTATCCAATCTAGCACTTAATGTTTCTGAGTCGTCACTATAAAGCAATGATTCCGCTTGAGACATTTCCTTCAGAGATGCCAACCAGAAATGAAAATGCTCAGAACTGACTTGCTCAGTGAGTTGCTTGAAAATATAAGTTCCAATTTGATGGTGTCCGTATCTAACTGCTGCTCTTGCAATGCAATAATTTGACCATAAATCGTTTGCATCTACTACAGCAAATATGGCACTTTCAATTTCAGTGTTCCATTTGGAACCTGACAGCATTTGAAATATTAAAGTACACAGCATGATTTTTGTACTAGTTTGACTTTGTTTGGGATTTGGTTCAGTTCTGATTGAGCTAAGAAGTCCTAAAATTGTTTCCAATTGTGGCAGTAAAGTTTCACATTTGAGACTGCCTATAGCTCCTAAGGCTTCACAAATAACTATAGCTGATTCTCCTGAAATAATTTTTGTCTATAAAAATGTTATTTTTGTTGGTTGATTTTTTTACCATCAACATCGTCCAGTCTTGAGCCTAATAGTTCAACAAAATTTGCACAATAGTCTGGTTTGGCTTCACAAAGTCTTACTGCGCACTTTAGAGCTATTTTTAGGTGTTTGGGTTTGTTTTGCTCTGAGGTTAATAAGCATATGAGGGCTTCAAGTGAAGCTATTACGTCATCTGAGCCTTCAGGTTGGAGATTTTCCTCAAAACTGGTTTTTCACAATCAATAACTTTGGTGAATTTGAATGCAATGATTTTGAATGAGACTACAGTTTCATGGGAAAAACTTCTAACATAGTAAAATGAATTTAAAAATAGCACCAGAAATTTTCATTCGCCACTAAAATTCTCTGCCTAGTTTTATGGGAACTAGCAGAAATGAATAGAAGTCGCATGGGATCAATGAGAATCAAAGATGTCATGATAAAATGGACATGAACATTTCAATATCACTAGAAATTGGCTAGTTTAACCAATCACGAGAATCAGAAAAAGTTACATGGAATTCAAGGAAAATATTGTTCAATTCAAAATTAATAGTTAAACGGTTATCACAATAGAATTAAACATGAAAAATTCAAAAATAACTTCAGGAATTGTATATTATCTTATCCAAAGAGTCATGTATGTACCACTGACAATTGATGTAAAATTTTTACAAGAATCAAGGGACACAAAATACTCAAATATCTAACTTACCAGCAACATAAAATCTGTGTCAAAATCTGTATAGTTTGTGCTGCAATTGCAGGCGAAGGCGAGTAAGAGTGTTTTTCGCAAATCGCTCTCAGTTTTGAACTGCAAGTTCTGTGCTCGTAACACATTTTTGGGGATTCTACCAAAATCTAAAACCCAAAATTATTACATTATAATGCCCAAAAACAGTAAATTGTCTCACTTGTATCACACGCAATCCAGGCATCAAAAGATTATTTCTATTACAAGACAAAATATAATTGATAAAATCGTCTATGGCTTTTGCTGGCCAAATATGAGCTCCAGGTTTTGCCAATTCGTATAGGTCTTGGAAAGCTTTCAATTTGATTTCATATCTAGGATCGTCTTTTAAATATTTGAGCAACAGTGTTACCTAAACACAAAAACTTATAAAAATGCAACATATTGATACCGAAATAATTGTACCTGGCTAGGTATATCAACTAAAGTAGCTGCAGCCAATTTGCTCAAAGTGTTCAAAGTGACCAAAACAAAATCCTGAGTAGGATAACTGGGTAACAAGTTTAAACACAAACTTCTAACCATTGCAGCTGTATTGGTATCGTGGTGCATGTATTGTAAAATAGGTATAAGTTGTAACTTCATGTTGGCTGTTATTGCTTGTCCTTGAATCATGTCTGAGACTTTATTACACATGCTTATAGCAAAAGTCCTAGGACAAAAATTGGGTAGGAATAAGTATCTTAAATAGTTGTTCTTACTTTGATTGGGCGGCAAATTGTATTGCAGCATAAATAGCTGCCTCTACTTCAACACTGTTATACGAATCTAAACTGCCTCTTATACTGTGATGTATTTGCTGTCTTTCTGGTATAACTGCTGCCACAGCACCGAATGTTCTTAAAGTTACTGCCCTGGCAATTGGGTCATTGGAATGAATAACACTAAAAGTATATTATTATTATTGGAGTTATTGTTTAGTGTAGATTTGATAAATACCTGTAAACCCGCCTAATAAATTCATCCACATTGGATATTTTGTCCAAGTGTCTTTCGCTTTGTTGGCACACTCGCAGTACACATAATCTCAAGAAATTGTTGCTAAAATTTCAAATATTAGGCAAATGTTTGGGTTTTTGTTGAAAATGTGTTTACCCCATGCGAAATACATCGGCTAGTTTGAGAAATGAGGCGTTTATCAGTATGGGAAATGGATATTTTTCAAATAATTTCGGGAATCTGACTATGGAGTCGCACTGTTCACCCACTTTACCTGATCTTAGACCTAAAGAAGAATTTTTATTTTAGAATTAATTATTAAATAAAGGTAAAAAAATACATAATCCAGGGGTCTTCAGATATCAACAGATTTGTATAGCGTCCTCTTGTATCCACATGTCTTTGGTTCAACTGAATTCAATACCAAACAAAGGGAAGAAACAAATAAAAATGAACTTATGATTTGGATTTTTGGAATCTTTGAAAAATCATAACTTTTTTTCTATTAGAGATAGAAAGCTGAAATTTTCAGCGATTGTTATCCTAGTAGAGGACTACAATCCCCAGCTCATTTGGACTTATAGTTTCAGGAATAAAATGGGGTAAAGCAATTTGGGGTAAATTTGACAATTTTTCAATTTTCTGAGTGCCTTTTTTCATAGATTTCAGCTTCAAATCCTAGAATAATTTAATGAATGGAATTTTTGGGATCCCAATGATCATTTAAACCTTGATTTAAAGACAAAATCTCAACATGAAAAATTTTGAAATTTCATCATTTTACTTGATTTTAGTAAAGGTGACTCGAAAGGTGATTATGATTTGGATTTTTAAAAACTTTGAAGATCCATAACTTTTTTTCTAATATAGATAGAAAGTTGAAATTTTCAGCAATTCTTATTCCAGTGGAGGACTACAATCCCTGATAATTTCAGCTCATTTGGACCTATAGTTCCAGAAATAAAATCGCGTTAAGCAATTTGGGGTAGATTTATTAATTTTTCAATTTTCTGAGTGCCTTTTTTCAGAGATTTCAGCTTTAAATCTCAGAATAATTTAGTGTATGGAGTTTGGGGGTACCCAATGATCATTTAAACACAAAATCTCCACATGGAAAATATTTAAATTTCATCATTTTAGTACTAAGGTCTCGACTAAGGTAGCTACGAGGGTAGCTACCTTATGACTTGAATTTTTGAAAACTGAAAAATTATAATTTTTTTTCTATTAGAGATAGAGAGCTAAAATTTTCAGTGATTCTTATCCTATTGAAGGACTAAAATCCCTGGAAATTTCAACTGATTTGAACCTATAGTTCCAGAAATAGGATCATGTTAAGCAAATCTTCTGAGTGCCTCTTTTCCAAGATTTTGGCTTCAAATCTCAGAATAATTTAGTGTATGGAGTTTGGGGATCCTCAATGATCATTTAGACACAAAATATCCACATAGAAAAATTTGAAATAACATCATTTTAGTACTAAGGTAGCTATCTTATGATTTAGATGAGGATTTGGATTTTTGAAAAATCATATTTTTTTTTTCTATTAGAGATAGAAAGCTGAAATTTCCAGCGATTCTTATCCTATTGAAGGACTACAATCCCTGGAAATTTCAGCCGATTTGGACCTTTAGTTCCAGAAATAAAATCATGTTAAGCAATTTGGGGTGGATTTATCAATTTTTCAATTTTCTGGGTGCCTTTTTTCAAATATTTCGGGTTCAAATCTGAGAATAATTTACTGTATGTAGGTATGGAGTTTGGGAGGTCCCCAATAATCATTTAGGCAAGAAATCTCCATATAAAAAAATTTGAAATATTATCTATTCACGATCCGATGTCCAAAGGTAAAGCTAAAATGTATCACCTTTCAGTGCTATTTGATAGGGAAAGGTGATAAATTTATCTTTACCTTTGGACTACGGATTGTGAATAGGCTATACATCATTTTAGTACTAATGATTTGGATTTTTGAAAACTTTCAAAAATCAGAACTTTTTTTCTATTAGAGATAGAAAGCTGAAATTTTCAGCGATTCTTATCCTATTGAAAGACTACAATCCATACAAATTTCAGCTCATTTGGACCTTTAGTTCCAGAAATAAAATCATGTTAAGCAGTTTGGGGTGGATCGAGGGGGTAACATCTTCTTAAATTTTGTGACAGTATTGCGACAATCCCTATGATTTTCTTACGATTGCGACTACAATCCCGGGATTGTGATGCGATTGTTGGATTGCAATGTGCATATGATTGTGAATGATTGCAGACGATTTTGAATGAATGCAGACAATTGTGAATGATTGCAGACGATTGTAGGCGATTGCAAGTGACCAAGAAAGTTTTTTGGTAACTACTTGAGTTACTGAGTTACACTGAAACATATATAAGATTATCAATCCACAAATAAAAATAGGAGTAAATATATGAACAAATATATATTTTGCTATTCTCTAAAGGATTTCACTTGGGATTTCAAAGTAAGTAGTATTTTTAATACCCATTTAGAATATTTTCATCCTTATTTATCAATCACGAATGAGATGAACCAAAAAATTACCAGCAAAAACGAACGTCGAATGCTAATATGTCAATTTCATGTACGGGTTATTGGGTATGAATGTCACCCCCTCTATCTTTTTTAGTTGATATTTTAGAAAAAAGTGTCCCGAATAAAAAAATTATGGTTGAAATTACATTTTTTGAAAAAGTCACTTTTGCATATACAGGGTGTTTCAAAAAAGTTGGTCGTGCTTCAACTTTCTTATTTTAAATTGAATACCCAATATATTATTTAATATTCAGATTTTACGTCAAATTCTGAGCAGATTTCATGTGATATACCTACCCTATACCTAAGTTCAACTGTTTTGGAAATATTGACAGTTGAAAATTGAGTTTTTCGCAAATTTGACAGGCTGTAAAACCTAAACGATTAACTTTTGAGCAAACCCGATCTTACATTTTTTTCTAAGATTTTCACAAGTTATCATTTGGCACCAACTTTGAATTTAACCGAAGATTAAATTTAATTGGAATTTTCAATCAGGGATTAAATTCAAAGTTGATGTCAAATATTGGTGTCAACTGATAGTTTATAGAAATCTAAAATAAAAATGTAAGATCGGTTTTGCTCTAAAATTAACCGTTTAGGATTTACAGCCTGTCAAAGTTGCAAAAAAGTCAATTTTCAACTGTCAATATTTCCAAAACAGTTGAACTTGGGTATATGGTATATCACATGAAATCTGCTCAGAATTTTACGTAGAATCCGAATATCCATAATATACAGGGTATTCTATTTGAAATAAGAAATTTGGAGCACGGCCAGCTTTTTTGAAATACCCTGTATATGCGAAAGTGAGTTTTTCAAAAAATTTAATTTCAACCGTAAAACTTTTAAGTATTTGGGACACTTTTTTCTAAAATGTCATATAAAAAAAATAGAGGGGGTGGCATTTATAACCAATAACCCTGTACAAACAGGAAATTCCTAACCTTATTTTATTTTTGTATTCAAGAAGCGACATACGTTTAGTCACTAGAATGTTTGGTACTTCTAAATAGGTATTAAAAATTCTATATAATATGGGTATGTACAGGGTCTGTTCCTTATAATCAGTGCGGCTTCTACAACTTGTGAAAATAATAAAAAAAATTAAGTAGACACAAAAGTTTCAGGGTTTTATTGATATTTCTACTTATTATATTTTGCACATGTCAGAAGGGGCAAATGACAAATGCCAACTGTCATACACTTGCATTTTTCAAATGGAACACCCTATATATTTCTTGATAAAATGATAGATTATTTTCTTCTGATTCCAGATATACCTACCAAAAATGTTGATATTTGGTTTAGCTGTTTTTCAATATTTAAGTTAAAAAATGCATTTACCGAGGCATTTACGTTACCTTAAATCACGTCTGTTTCCAGTTGCATATTCATTTTTTGTTTAGCGTAAAAACAGCTGAGCCAAAAATCAACATGGTATATTTGGAATCAGAAAAAAAAATCAATCATTTGAAGAAAAAAAATGCGAGTCTTAGTCATTATGACAGTTAGTACTTATAGTTTGTCCGTTTTGACATAAAGGAACTGTCTTTTGATCTAATTAACAAAAAATCAGTTAGTTTAAGCAAAGTTAATGTCCCAAGATCTAGAATAAACAAATTTGAACAGCCCGACAGTAATGCGAACAGGGCGCCATCTATCATAAAAATGCCTTAAAGCACTATGTAAAGTAGGTATCTGTAGCGTCAATGTAAAACCAGTAAATAGTAATATTTCCAATATAGTAGATGGCGCTGGCTTGGCTCAATTTTGTTGACAAAAAAATTTACACTGAGATTTCATTCTCGACAGTTTATATAGTATTTATCTCTGGTTTTGATTGTGGTTTTGACATGTGCAATATAATAGAAATAAAACCCTATAACTTTTGTATTTAACTTTTTTTTGTTCAAGTTGTAGAAGCCGCACTAATTATAAGGAACATACCCTGGACTTGTAACAAAGTTGAATGGATACATACATTTTTGGGATCTTGAACCTATTTTCTCAATATTCACCTTGTCTTGCTTTCTAAGATGAATTTTTTTTCCTTGCAAAGCAATGGGACCACAAAATATATATTATTTTCGCAACTATTTGTATATCTTCATCTTGCCAAATGTAATCATCAATACCTCTTCTGACATTTTATACTTTATATCAACATCTAACGTCTCTATGATCCGGCAATTACATCATGTATCACATGCAGCACCTTCATTTTTCAGAGACACTTCTTCGCAAAATGTATTTTCTTCTGCTTTCATTTCCCAATTCATTTTTTTTCTGAATAGCTCCCACTTTCAGAGGTTTTGGCATCTTCCATGTTTGGAGCCCTTTTTGATTGCAGTTTCTTATTTTTGCTCTTTTGATAGGCTCTATTTCTAATATTCTGTTACTTTATTTATTTTTTTGACAACTTTGCATACTTATGCATCTGAGATTTCTATCTGTTAATGATAACTCGGTTGATAACTTTCCGTTTTTATTAGAAAATAGCCAGCACAGTGTTTATTTTTTCACCAACAAATTTTTGTCCTAAACCTTTATTTTTAGAAGGCTAGGGTCTAATGTTTTTGAATTATTGTGATCAGTGTAGTCCTCAATATCTAGTAAATCGTAGTTTGAAAGTGAATTCAATTATTCCTACATAGCCAGTGTTGCCACAAGCTCCTTTTTCATTGGGGTAGATTACGGCAAGATAGCGGGGTAAAATACATTCGGTGCGGGGTAGCAACAAAAATTTCACCTACAAGCGTGCGGTAAAGTTACTTTACCGCATAGTCTGCGGTAAAGTAAACTACAGTATGCGGTATAAGATAAGTTTCTGCAGAAATCACAAACCAGTCAGAGTGAATTTCATTGGTTGAAACTAGTTTTCTGATTGTTTTCAACCAATGAAATTCACTATGACTGGTTTGTGATTTCTGCAGAAACAGACCTATTGTTACTCCAGTGCATAGTGTGCGGTAAAGTAGACTAAGCTTTGCTGCTTTCCGCATTTGTTAGGTAAATAACTACAATATATCAATAATCATACAAATTCAAAGAAGGCACTGAAAGAAATCCCTAAATGAGTTTATAAAATTATAGGCGACAAAGCGTAGACAAAAAACTCGATGAATACAGTTCAAATAAATATAAATTGCGTCTCATAATTTGGATTTTGTAAGTATTTTGAATTAGCGATAAGCAAAAGCATTTTTTTTGTGTTATAGCAAGATTGTATTTATAGAGCGGAGAGCGGGGTAGATTTAGTTGAGAGGAGCGGAAGGGCGAGATTGTTTTCAAAAGGGGTAGATCTACCCCGAACGGGGTAGCTTTGGCAACACTGTAACATAGCATTTAGCTCTTCAATGGTATCTTCACTAAATAATTCATTTTGGCTTGACATAAGATCTTCTGGTTCAGGTCATTTGTACTCAAGATATTCTTTAGGGTATTCCAAAGTGTGACTTCCAGATGAATGAAATGGACTTGAATTTGATTTGTATGAAGAAGTCCCGCTAAATCGAAATTCTAAACTTACAAATGCGGTCAACGGTCAATTAATATTTTCTATAAGAAGTTATTTAGGTGCAGGCTTTTACCTTTAATGCCGATAGTAAAAAAGAGGCTAGTTGATTATTTGAAAAATAACAACATTCTAGCTCCAAACCAGTTCGAATTCCAGGAAGGCAAAGGGACAAATGATGCAATGTTTCTACTCCTTGAGAGTCTTTTTTTCGGTTTAAACGATGGTGAGAAGGCTGCGGTGGTGTTTTGTGACTTTTCAAGAGCATTCGATTGCGTAAGTCACGAAATACTACTGCGGAAACTAAGCCATTATGGTATCCGAGGGCGGGAGCTCGCCTGGTTTGGATCGTATTTGTCTGGGAGAAAACAACTTGTAAGAATGCCAAACAGGGAGGACTCAGAAACTCTAAATCTATCTCGCGGTGTGTCACAAGGGTCTGTACTGGGCCCGGTTCTCTTCCTGCTCTACATTAATGATCTTTCTCTTTTGTCAATACTTGGTGTCTTCGTAATTTTCGCCGACGATACGACTATTCTATGGAAGCACAAGGATGCAGCAGTTTTGTCTAATATCATAGAAAAAGATCTAGTTTTAATAAAGGAATGGTGTGACGCAAACTCTCTTGTATTTAATGTTTCAAAAACAAATATTCTATCATTTAAATGCTCACTAGATACCATTACCCTAAATGATAAATCTCTGCAAGAAAAGTCGACTGTTAAATTCCTTGGTCTTCACATGGACTCTAAGCTCAAATTTGAAACCCACATTGATTTACTTAATAAGAAATTATCACAAGGCTGCTATTTGATAAAAAATATATTACAGGAGTTGGGCAAAGATATAGCTAAAGTAGCCTATCATGCTTTGATGGAATCTCATATCAGATATGGAATACCCTTCTGGGGATTCTCAACCCAAGCCTCTGTTCAATCAGTGTTTATTTTACAAAAAAGAGCCCTTAGAACTTTATGCGGAGTTAGTTGTCAGCAAACCTGTAGACCACTCTTTCTACGGGAAGAAATTTTGACAGTTCCATCAATTTTTATAATGGAAATAGCTTGCCTTATACATAAAAAATTCCAAGGTTTTAACATAACTGAGTCTCATAATTTGCGAAGTTACGATAACAACTTACCGTTACCCATCCCTAAATCTACTCTGACAAAACAATCTGTAATTTACGAAGGAATAAAGATATTTAATAGTTTACCGGATGACATTAAAAGTATAAATGTATATAAAAGGTTTCGAACAAAGCTTAAAGAATTTTTAATTGGTGGGACTTTTTATAGTTTGGGAGAGTATTATAATAGGTGAAGCCAAAGCGCGGTTTGTTGATTGTCTTGTGTAGCCTGGATAGTTTGGACAATTTAGATTGTTTATCTGTATTTATTTATTTATTTGTTAATTGTTCAATTTTTTAAAGTCTACATCATGTTTATAAGTTTTAAAACTTCGTTTGTTTGTCGGATAATCTTGTGAATGTTTTTGATTTTATCGTAATGTTGATTTTACATGCTAGTACATTTTATACTGTTTTTCTGTGTTTCAAATTTTATATTTGTATTTTTATAGACGAAATTATTTAGTGTTGACATAGATTAGGTAGTAATAGGTATGAAAAAAATTGTTTAGAATTAAGTTTTGCTTTGTCAATGATCTTTTGAAAAAATTAGGACAATAAAGCTTATTTGAATTTGAATTTGATTCGCTCGTATCCAGTAGCTGGCGCCAGTCTCACTGCATGTCGTTCCAGTTCTGGCATCGTGGGAACACTTACCGCAGTGAAAACTCACGATTAACTGGACTCATGTAGACGACCTGGGTCCAGCGCTTTACCAGCCAAAAATTGGCATGCCATGCAGCATGCAGCCAGTGAGACTAGCGCCAGCTACTGGATATGTGTAAATCGGCCTTTATAGTAATAATGCCACCACAGTTTAATAACAGTTTAATCGCAAATAAATAGCATAAAATAGCAAGAAATTTGTCTGTCAATCTTTCTCTTTGCCGACTGCGCTGACTCTCACTATTTACAAACAAATAAACGCGCGGCTGCGCATGCACACGATTGTACCTGAGAACAGGTGGAGGCGTACTCGATTGCCAATGTGATTTTCAGATTGCGAGGCTGCGAATGCGATTGCAGGATTGTTTTAAAGCGATTGTGAGATTGCAAACGCAATTGCGGGACTGCGACTGAGATTGCCACGGCAGTTTAAGTGATTGCAAGCGATTGTTAAGAATTTGTGACAGTATTGCCGTCAGATGTTACCCCCTCGGGGTAGATTTATCAATTTTTTGGGTGCCTTTTTTCAAAGATTTCGACTTCAAGTCTCAAAATAATTTAGTGTATGGAGTTTGGGGGGTCCCAATGATCATTTAGACACAAAATCTCCACATAGAAAAATTTTGAATACCATCATTTTAGTACTACTTAAGGCCCGACTTAAGGTAGCTACCTTATGATTTAGATTTTTCGAAAACTTTGCAAAATCATAACTTTTTTTCTATTTGAGATGGAAAGCTGAAATTTTTAGTGATTCTCATAGAAAGAATTTTTAGTAGGCCCAATTATTTTTGGGGCTTCAAATCTGAAACCTTTATACAAACCTTTATCTAGCTCTGTTAAAGCCGAATTAGCATCCTGTTCTGGTTCCCCTAAAGTTTCTGTAAAGCTAGTAACACGTAAACCCAACATTTTAATTCACAAATTCTTTAAAAACACAACACAAACTAAAAATTTTATTTTGTTTTTCCTTTTAAATTTGAATGTTGTTGTTGTTGAAAGTTTCTAACCCCAAAATTCGAATAATCTAATAGCGATTTCTATTGGCGGAAACAGTGCGAGTAAAACGTATATTTCTCTCTTTCTTATGCACTTTGGTAGAAAAAGACACGAATATGGTCAAATAATCCAAACTAAACTCTATCTTGACAGCAATCAATGGATTTTCAATTTTTAGGATCAATGTAACCAAAACCGCAATTTATTACAGGAATCTGTAAAACAACAAGTGTGTGTTTGTAAATTTGAGGTTAGGAAGGAAAATTTCATTATTTTGCTTTTGCTTTTAAAATTTAAAATTAATAATTAAAACAAGGATATAATCATGTCGGTTTGGAAAAAGGCAGCGAAATCCCACCAAAAGACCCATCGAGAACGGCACCAGCCCGAATCCAGGCAACATTTGGGGCTCCTCGAGAAACCCAAAGACTATCGAAAACGAGCCCAAGACTACAACGAAAAAAAAGAAACCCTCAAAGTATTGAGAAAACGAGCCCTGAATAGAAATCCTGACGAGTTTTACCATCACATGATCAACTCTAGAACCGAAGAGGGCAGGCATTTCGAGAAGGAACTGGAAATTGAAGACACCCCCGAGCAGTTGCAGCTGATGAGAACACAAGATTTGAAATACATTGTTACCAAACGTACTCAAGAGCAAAGAAAAATTGAAAAGCAACAAGCTCAGTTGCATTTGACTAGTGTAGATCATAATATAACAAATACACATATAAGGTTTGAGAAAAATAAGGACAAAAACAAAAAATTGAATAGTTATAAGCTTGAAAAATTGTCTGAAATTGAATTGCCAGATGTTGATCCTGCTTCTTTACAGGTAATAATTATTGTTTTGTATTTGTGTATCATGTATTGAGAATTATTATTATTTTTTCTAGAAATCAGCCAGGACTCGTCAACAGCTCTACAACGAATTAGCCAAAAGAATCAAAAGAGAAAAGGAATTGGCAATAATACAACAGAAAATCGAAATGAATAGAGCAATAGAAAATAAAACCAACATTCTTCCACCTAAACGAATCAAAAAGGGTACCAAGCAAAGTGCTCCAGTGTACGTTTGGAAATATGAAAGGAAAAATTAATTATTCAATAAAGATCATTTTGATTAACCTAATATTAGTTTTAATTTATCTCTATACCCACATCCATTTTAAATCCATTACATCAGTAGTTAGTGAGTTAGGTACAATGAATACAATTATTGAGAAAATTAAAAATAGTCCTCAAACTTTTGTGATAGCTGAAATTGGTCAAAATCATCAAGGCAATATACTGATAGCAAAAGAGCTGATTAAAATAGCAAAAGTAAGTTTTTTTCAAACAAAAATAAGTTTTCATAAATGACAATTGATAATATTTCAAGTTCCTTATTGTAATAGATATTTACACCTAGATGTTGACCATCTGTATGTACCTATAGAGTTAATAAGAGAATTAAAATATAATAAAAAGTCATGTTTGATGAAAGTTTGTGACTATTTATGCAACAACTGTATGAAGTGAACCTTTAGGAGCTTTATACATTACATACCAATCTATCTATTAAGTATAAGGGGGAGATTGGGACACTAAAAATATAATTAGCTGTGTATTATTGCTTGGTCTTCAATATATTGATCATATAATGTTATGGTATTGACATTGATAAGTGTACTATCTATCTATCACTGTAGGCTTAGCGCTTAACCACTAATAGATGAATCAGATTTTGATATTTTCCCAAGTATCCAAAATTGTCCCAACGTACCCCTTGGCTGGGGTAGATTTGGACAGTTTAGGGGCAGATGTGGACAAAAACCGCTTTATTGAGCTAGACCTTGCAGTTGTTTGAGACGTTATTCTTGGCTTAGGTAATTTTGTTTCCACTTTGTTCCAATTCTATTAGCTCTTTATCAGTGACTTATTGGGAAAAGGTAAATCCAGTTCCTTATTTCTTCCTGAGAAAATTAGTTAAATATTTTCCATCGACTATTTCTCCCACTTCACTTCTCCAATATAAATATTTTTGGGTTTTCTTCATGCAATGATCAGCAAAAAGTTACCGATTTTGATATTTGGCATCTCAGATTCATGATCTATGAAAGTGTCTACATCTTGCATGAATTTCGCTTAAAAAAGGCGGTTACACACGGACGTGGATGTCTGAAAACATGATGTACGCACATACATGAACGCGCAACCAAAAACTTCAATGTTTATGCAAAATAACGTCGCGTTTTTGTATGTGCAAGCAGAGGAATGACGCACAAGTGAATTCTGGAATCGCTAGAAATTTTGTATGCACACTCGGAATACTGTAGCAAGAATAGCAAGACTGACAGTTTTGTGCGAGCGTGTGTACAAAAAGGCGGTTACACACGGACGTGGATGTTTTAATACATACACGTGCATACATCAACGTGCAGACAACAACGTGCATGGCGCTTTTGTACAGACGCTCGCACAAAACTGCAGTCTTGCTATTCTTGCTACAGTATTCCGAGTGTGCATACAAAATTGCACATTCAAAAACGCGACGATATTTTGCATACACATTGATGTTTTTGTTTGCATGATGTATGCACGTATATGTATTAAGACATCCACGTCCGTGTGTAACCGCCCATATGTATTAAGACATCCACGTCTGTGTGTAACCGCCGGCGACATGCACGTTGTTGTGTGCACGTTGATGTATGCACGTATATGTATATCAAGCCATCCACGTCCATGTGTAACCGCCTAAACAGTCAGATTCATCATCAGCGTAGCTCACTTTATGCCCGGAATCCTTTGAGTCATTCGCTTGTTGCTCTACAATATCGAACAGCTTATGTTTAACTTGCTTCTTCTTTTCTTTGGCTATAACAGATCTTGATTATAACTTTCAATTTTTGTCTATTCTAGGCGCTGGCTCTCTAAAATAATTTTGAGGTTCTTAAATTTGTTCAAAATGTCGCTGTAAAGTGTTCGAAATGGCTTATTGAAGTTCTAAAGTGTTCTAAAACTTGCTTGAAAAGTTCTGAAACATTTTAGAAGTTTTTTAGTAACTTCTAAATTATTCTAATACAGCTTTTTAAGTATTTGAAGCTCCAAAATATTCTAAATTGGTTCAATAGAGTTCTAAAAGGTGTCCAGTTCTAAATTGATTCCTATAATTGTTGTAAAATAATTCTGAGGTTTCTCGATTATTTTTGAGCAAATTAATAAGAACTATACATTGAAAAGTGCAATACATTTACATTAATTCTCTATATTACCTGTGCAAAATTGGGTTTTGAAGCTTGTAATGTTTTATAGATTTCAAGCCATAAGTAATATAATTTAGTCTAATCTAAATTTTGTCCAAAACTTAACTCGATTTTCTCAAAAACCGTAAATGCTAGCTATTTCAACTAAATACCATCTTATTGTAGCCCTTATCAAGGGCGCTACCATTTCTGTTCCAGTACCGCTTTCGGTTACCGACATATTTGAGATTCAAGATTTCCAAATAAAAATCCGAAGAGCTGGGCTTAGAAAAAAATGCAAAAAATTGAAAAATTCTATTTTTGCACTTTTCTTAATTTTGACTTCAGAAATCGATAGAGCGAGTCCAAATTAGTCAAAAGCAACAATAACATCAATTACGTTTAGAAATTTCAATGAGAAATCCAAAAGGAAATCTCATTTTTGGCTCTGGACATTTTTTAAAATATTGACATGCTCATGAATAATTGCCTATCTTCAATTACTATTTGCAAGCAAATGAATAGAGACTATACATCATTGAAAAGAGCATTAAATTCTCTATAAGCCCCTTGCAAAATTGATTTTTGTAGCTCGTAAAGTTTCTAAGATATTGAGCCTCAAATTGGAAATTTAGTTAAAATTTTGTCCAAAACTCGATTTTCTCAAAAACTATAAACGCTAGCGATTTCAGCTAAATATATCATCTAAAAGCCCTCGTCCAGAGCTAAAATTCCTGAAAATTTAGTTTCAGTACCGTTTTTATTTATTGAGATATTTGAGATGGAAGATTTCCAAATAAAAATCCAAAGGGGAGAAAAAAATGCAAAAAATTGAAAATTTCTATTTCTAAATTTTTCTTAATGTTGACTGAATAAGTCAGAAGCAACTCTAAAATCAATTACATTTAGAAATTTCGATAAGAGAAAAAATCCAAAAGGAAATCTCATTATTCTCATTTTTGGACTCATTGGACATTTTTTGAAATCTTGACACGATCATGAATAATTGCCTATATTTTCCATTATTTTTGAAAAAATTAATAATAACTTTATATCACTGGAAAGAGCATTAAATTCTCTATATGCCCGTGCAAAATTGGTTTTCGTAACTCTTGGGGTTTCCAAGATCTTGAGCTTGAAAGTTGAAATTTACTCGACATATTTTGTTTAAAACTTCAAACTCGATTTTCTCAAAAACCGTGAACGCTATAGCGATTCCAGCTAAATACCTACCATTTTGAAGCTCTATAGAGAATACTCAGAAGCCTGTAATAGAAAAGCGATGATTTTTCTATCAAAAATTCACATTATATTAGGAAATTGCCTACTTATAAATTAAAAAATTCAATTATAAGAAAATCCATTAATTGTGTAAATTTTTTCGCTTAAAACATAACACAGAACCTAAAATTGTAAATAAATGTTCGATGAGAAAATCAATTACATACACATATTTGAATTTTGTGCAAGCTAAAGCATTTTAATAAAATCATAGTACCTATACTGCTTAGTACGGCCCTGACCACCCAAACTTTTTGGGAAATATTGGAATATTGAGAACATACAAATATATCTTTCAAGATTTTCTTAGTCCCAACTTGCAAAATTCGAGTTGTTTACTTCAACTTAACCCTTGGGAAAGGGATGGCCGGCGGCCGCATTCTCTATTGTCCACCCTTCAAGTCTACCATTTATTGCCTGGGAAAAATACTGATAAAGATTTTGGTTTTCGGCTTTAGAAATGAGCTTCTTTAAAAAGAATATTTATTCATAAAAAAGCGAATTTCAAAAACATCAACTCCGTCAAGCAAACTAAGGAATCCCACATAATTCTACACTAGAATTCCAAGGTGTTTCTCAATGAGGATAATTTAAAACTTTATTTCTAAGTTTCTAGTTTAAAGTAGAATGCCATCATGAAAATTAAATTAGGCTTCATTATAGTAGCTATAAATTATACCCAAGAATATTGAATTTGGTTTTTGTTATCAATTTTATGACATTCCAGTACCTACCTACGTTAAGAGTTTATTTATTCATTTATTAATTGTTGCAGGAATGTGGGGTGGACTGTGTAAAATTCCAGAAAACTTGCCCCCAAGAAAAATTCACAAAAGCTGCCCTGGAAGCTCTATACTTGGGAGAAAATTCATGGGGCAAAACTTACGGAGAACATAAGGCCTATTTGGAGTTTTCCAATGAGGAATTTATGGAATTGCAACAATACGCTCAGAGTATTGATGTTCTTTTTACTGCCTCTGCTATGGATGAAGTTTCTTTGAAGTTTTTAATCGAAATTAATGTGCCTTTTATTAAAATTGGCTCAGGAGATTCAAATAATTTTTTACTAATTGAAGAGGCTGCTAAAAGTGGCATACCACTTGTCATATCAACTGGTAGGTGAATATTTATATTTCCTGAAGTCATTGAGTAATTTTATCCAATATCAGGTATGGTTGAATTTGAAACAGTCCAAAGAATCTACAATTTAGTCTCAAAATATCACAAAAATTTTGCCTTATTGCATTGCATCTCAGCTTATCCAACTTCTTATGAGGATATAAATTTAAAAGTTATCCAAGACTATCAACAGAAGTTTCCTGATATTGTAACAGGCTATTCAGGGCATGAAATTGGTTTGCACATCACTGTTTCAGCTGTAGCTTTAGGAGCAAAGGTAAAATGTTTCAATTATTGTATGTTAAATAAAATAATTCATTGTTGAAGATTATTGAACGTCATATTACGTTGGATAAAACCCAAAAAGGATCCGATCACAAGTGTTCATTAGAACCACAAGAACTTAAATTGCTTATTGAACAACTACGAAGCTTGGAAGTTGCTTTGGGTCAACCATTCAAACGAGTGCAAATATCTGAAAAGCCTTGCTTTGAAAAACTGGGCAAAAGCCTTGTGTATGCAAATAATTACACAAAAGGCCATAAAATGACTCATAAAGACTTCAAAGTTAAAGTTTCTGTGCCTAAAAAAGGCTACAATGCAACAAAATACCAAGACATTTTGGGGAAGATTTTGCTTATTCAAGTGGCAGCAGATCAACCAATTGAATTAGAGCATTTTTGGCCCAATTAGATTAGAATGAAAAGCTTTTGCAAATCATTATTATGTTCAAAATCAAACGAAGTCAACCCAGTGAAAAAGAGATCACACGTCACTCGACAGGGGTCCAAATTAATGGGGCGCATGATCCCATTGTGAAACTATAATAGGAAAACAATTATTTTAGAATAAAAGAGTGGTTTGTTGTTTTTCTTGTTTTCTTCTAATTTGACACGTGACCTCTATTGTCTGCAATATTTTTCTTTTTTAGTTTCCAGGGTAAATGATCTCTGGAAAAATATTGATGGGGAAATTTGTGTGTAAAATTCTCAAATTTAAACAAAAAAACGATGGCCTTATTCTCTCTATATGGTATTTATTTTGTGCCCGTAGGGCGTCGCGACGCTCCGGAACGATAACGGGCGTCGTTTCCGTGGTAACGGCACGGTGAAAATCCCCGTCGTTGTTTGCACTGAAATTTGTCGACAATTAAGGGATGATTTTTTTTTTGTTGTTGTTATAAGTATGGAATTTTTTCGAGGGGATTTTGAGCGAGAATCTGGAGGAGTTTTGTTGGAATTGTTGAAAACATTCTTTTTATATTAAGGTATTAGAGGCCTTCGAATTTTCTTCATTTTTTCAAGCAGGTTCTCAAGAGAAATTTTAAGAAAACTAGAATTCAAGAGTTAGAAATAAACTAAAATTGAGCTGGGAACATTGAAAAATAAAGGATAAGAAGTTCCAGAGAAATTTAAAAAATGGTGCTTGATAATATAGTCGGTAGGTACCTATCTCGTTTTTTGACTTACGATTCTGAGTTGAAATTGAGTGATTCTTTGATCTACATATAATGAGTGGATACTCAGTTTATTAATGGCTGAATCAGAATAATGAGGGAAAATCACTCCTATAGTTTGTCTATATTTGATTGAACAGTCTTATCTCATATATATTCGATTCCAAAAATTGTAAAAATACTATCCTACTACTGATTTTGTGAACCATTCTATTCTACCTATACAGGTGAAAGCTGCAGGTAAAATTTGAGTTAATTGGTTTCTCTAATAATATTTTCAAAATTTTTAGGACTAAATATGTTGGAAACGGCTCAACCAAATATAGACAAACTATATACCTAGTTTTGGAATCGGGAAAATGTGCTCTTTAAGAATATAGAACCAAATGTAGGGCAATAATGTACAACTTTTGTATTTACACCTTTCATCTACCTGTAAAGGTGAAGGCTGTAGGTGAGGTATAAATACCTATATAAAAAAACACCCTGTAGTTGAACAATAACTTATTATATAAAGTCAAAATAATTTGCAAGATTATTCATTTTTTGTCAATTTCCCTTTCAACAGGAATTAGTAATGTTATTTTACCAAACTACTAACATAATGTGACAAGTTATTCAAGTACAAAACGAGTGGATTGTTGCGGAACTTATGGGTGGACCTCTGCGGGACGAGCGCAGCGAGTTCCGCAGCCATCTATTCAGCAATATGTTGTTCAAGAACAATACTAACTTGATTCTCTCATTTGTGAGTTTTTCTCATTAGTTCAAAAACTACAAGTTTCAGGTGGATGTCTTACTTGAACAGTTCAACAGTATATTAGTAAGTAGATGGCTGCGGAACTCGCTGCGCTCGTCCCGCATAGGTCCACCCATAAGTTCCGCAACAATCTACTTATTTGTACTTGACCAATAACTTATTATATAAAGTCAGAATTTGTTAAATTATCCACTTTTTGTCAATTTGCTTTTTAACAGGAATTAGTAATGTTACTTTACCAAACTACACCTTTTCCATGTGTAATTGCGAATTTAGCAATTTATATTGCGAATTCATCAATTGATTTTGCGAATAGTCAAGTGATATTGCGACTATATCAGATGTAATTGAGAAAAGGTAAATGTAATTGCGATTATATCAAATGCAATTAAGAAAAGTTAAGTGTAATTGCGAATATAACATATGCAAATGGGGATAATCAAATGAAATTAGGAATATATCGAATGTAGTTGCGAATTAATCAAATATAATTAAGACATTATAAAATATTTTTTTTACTCAGCCTATTGATAATATCTGTCCACTAAAGTTAATTGAAAATGTTGGATTTTTTAAATAAAAGAAACTGCGCAGAGTCTGAGAAAGCGGTTTTTATTGATTTTCGAAAAACGTCTTAAAGGTAAACAGAAATCAGTAGGAACAACTACATACAGATGTTGATTAAAAAATGAAAAGGCTGAATTACATTTGATTTATTCCTAATTTTATTTGATTATCCTCAATTACATTATCGCAATTAAACCTAACTAACTGTTGAGTAGATGGCCATCTACTTACCAATATACTGTTGAACTGTTCAAGTAAGACATCCACCTGAAACTTGTAGTTTTTGAACTAATGAGAAAAACTCACAAATGAGAGAATCAAGTTAGTATTGTACTTGAACAACAACATTTCTGACAATTCAATTTTTGTTTCTGACCATGGATTCTAAAAATTTAGCCAATAATGTACAGTCATGAGCACAAAAAGTGGGACATCCGACTGACACTACCGTCTTGTCATTTTTCGCTATTTTGCGTATATCAGTCTTTTCGGGGATAATACCACGAGAGCTTCAAAATTATCAATAGTAATATAACTAGTGCAATGGAAATTATTGATAATTTTTGGGAAATTTGCTCGAATGCATTTTTAGTTGAAAAAGAGCACGAGTGCACGTAGTGCACGAGTGCCTTTTTCAGTTAAAAACGCATGAGTGCAAATTTGTCGAAAATTATAAATATATTTCCATTGCACGAGTTGTATTTAATGAGAGAATTTCATAAATCAAAAATTTAAATTTTTTGTCAAAAAATGTCGAAACACCAGTTTTCGCACCAGTTAGTATGCAATTATCTGATAATTTGTACTCCAAATTATCGCGTAATTACAATCTGATTGATTCAAATCAACAATCAAAACATATCAATTTATTGTTGGAATACCAGTTTTGACAGATGTATGAAATTCTCTGGTTCATTTTAAAGCTCAAGTGGTATTTAGAGGATTATTCCACTCATGTGTTAGAAATCCCATAAGGCAAGTGACAATTTTCAAAATTACAGCGAAAATTCTTTTGTCCATTAGTTTAACTAGAGAGAATTACAGCGATAATTCTCCCATGTTATTGTATTCATGGTTGTCATGCTAATTTTTGATACAAACAAACGGTTGCTGTTAGGAACCACTTATTTGTATTGATTGTTAAGTTGTTCAAATCGTTTTTAAATATTTATTTGCATATTTTCCGGATTTTCATTCGAGAAATAATCCTCTAAATACCACTCGAGCTTGAAAATGGACCAGATGATTTTTCACTCATGCGTGTTTTCTTTGCAAATTTCACTCGTCCTACGGACTCGTGAAATTATAGAAAACACGCTATCGTGAAAAATTATCGGTAATTTTGAAGCTCTCGTGGTATTATCCCCGATTATTTCACGTATGAGAATGCAAAAAATATGGAAATAGATATGTATTAAACGATTTGAACATCTTAACAATCAATACAAATAAATGGTTGCTATCAGGAACCGTTTGTGTGTATCAAAAATTAGCATGACAACCATGTATACAATAACATGGGAGAATTATCGAATGTAATACCACAAGAGGTTTCAGGATTACCGGATAATACTTTTACCTGTCACGAAACGCGTTACGCAGCAACACCACGACTCCGAAGGAGGAGTGGTGTTGCTGGTAACGCGTTGAGTGTCAGGTAAAAGTATTAGGTAATCCTGAAAACTCGAGTGGTATTCAAAAGATTAAACAACGAACTAAACTTTAATTCTTTATTAATTAATAATTTCATGAATCAAAAATTTAAATTTTTTTGTCAAAAAATGTCAAAACACCAGTTACCGTGCAAAAGGATTATCACTTCTTAAGCCTCTCGTGTCATATGGGAAGGATTATCACTTATTAATCCTCTCGTGTCATATGGGAATAATGTACAGTGAGTTGTATAATCGCTGTAATTCTCTCTAGTTAAACAAATGGGAAAGAGAATTTTCGCTGTAATTCTGAAAATCGTCATTTGTCTTATGGGATTTCTAACACATGAGTGAAATAATCTCTACAATCGATTTTTTGTCAAATATGACACTTATTCCTGTCATTGCCGTAGGTATATCTGGTGAGCCCGTTTTACAATAGGAAAAAACGGGTGTCCCACTTTTTGTGCTCACGTCTGTACGTGCAACTTTTGTAATTACACCATTCATCTCATCTACCTATAAAGGTAAAGGCTGTAGGTGAGGCATCAATAACTATATAAAAAAAACACCCTGTACTTGAACAATAACATAAACATAAAGTCAAAACTTATAAGAGAATTTCATACATCTGTCAAAACTGGTATTCCAACAATAAATTGACATATCTGCACTCATGCGTTTTTAACTGAAAAAGGCACTCGTGCACTACGTGCACTCGTGCTCTTTTTCAAATAAAAATGCATTCGTGCAAATTTCCCAAAAATTATCAATAATTTCCATTGCACTAGTTATATTACTATTGATTATTCACTTTTTGTCAATTTTAATGTTACTTTACCAAACTAGTAACATAATGTGACAAGTTATTCAAGTACAAACGAGTGGATTGTTGCGGAACTTATGGGTGGACCTCTGCGGGACGAGCGCAGCGAGTTCCGCAGCCATCTATTCAGCAATATGTTGTTCAAGAACAATACTAACTTGATTCTCTCATTTGTGAGTTTTTCTCATTAGTTCAAAAACTACACGTTTTAGGTGAATGTCTTACTTGAACAATTCAACAGTATATTGTTGAGTAGATGGCTGCGGAACTCGCTGCGCTCGTCCCGCAGAGGTCCACCCATAAGTTTCGCAATAATCCACTTATTTGTACAGGGTATTTTTTTATATATTAACACCCCACCTACAGACTTTACCTTTACAGGTAGAAGAAAGGTGTAAATACAAAAGTTGTGCAGTTTTGGTTGAGTTTTTAGAAACCATGGTCAGAAATAAAATTTAAATGTCAGAAATATGAAATTTTGCATGCCTTCAACTTTTTTCAAATGGGATGCCCTATATTTTATTCTATATTCTTGAAGAGCATAATGCCCCGATTCCAAAAATATATAGTTTGTTTATATTTGATTGAGCAGTCTCTCATTTATTCGGCTCCAAAAATTGTAAAAATACTATTTTACTACTGATTTTGTGAACCATTTTACCTGTACAGGGTATTTGATTATATTTGGCACCATACCTAGAGCCTTTACTATTTAAGATAGAAAAAAATTTTAAATACAAAACTTGACAGTTTTTTTCTATATTTTCTTTTGACAGTATCAGAAAAAACAAAATCGCATCGGAAAATGGAGAAACGTAGGCAACTTAAACTTTTTTCAATGGAACACCCTATATATTATGCGATAAAATTGAAGATCTTTTCCTCCTAATTCCAAATATATACAGGGTGTATATTTTAAGTGATACCACTATTGCTATGTATATCCGAAACGGTAAGAGCTACAAGGTCGGTTAAATTAGAAAAAAGTTGCCTTTTTTGATGCCCATTCAAGACTAGTTTACTGTGTTGCCAAATTCCTTTAAGTTTATGAAATACAGGGTGATTTCTAAGAAACGTCCAAAAATATTCCATCAATTATTTTGAAAACTATTGATTTTCGAGAAACAATTTGAATTTGAAAGTTTTATAATTTTTTCCGCTCTACAACATGGCATCTTCAAATTTCAAATCCGACGTTTCGTGATCGAGCTATCATCATCAACTTTATTTTTTTAAATACGGATCTGAATTTTTTATGTCATTTTTAGGAAGCGCCCTTCATTCCCTTTCCAAAAATGACATAAAAGATCCAGGTCCGTATTTAAGAAAATAAAGTTGATGATGGTAGCTCGATCACGAAATGTCGGATTTAAATTTTGAAGATGCCATGTTGTAGAGCGAAAAAAATTATAAAACTTTCAAATTTAAATTGTGTCTCGAATATCAATAGTTTTCGAAATAATTGATGAATTAATTTCAGGCCTTTCTTATAAATCACCCTGTATTTCATAAACTAAAAGGAATTTGGCAACACTGTAAACAAGTCCTGAATGGGCATTAAAAAAGGCAACTTTTCTCTAATTTAACCGACCTTGTAGCTTTTACCGTTTCAAATATAGCCATAGTGGTATCACTTAAAATATACACCCTGCTTTAAATATACACCCTGTATATATTGAGCACATTTGAGTGAGCCGTGTTTGAAATATTTTAGCTTAAATTTGCAAAGAAATTTCATAAGGATGTCAAGACATTTAAATCTTCATAAAATTCCTTTGGATTTTATTTAAAATTTGAGCTAAGATATATCAAAAACGACTCACTCAATTATCAGTATATATATTTGGAATCAGGAAGAAAAGATCTTTAATTTTATCGCATAATATACAGGGTGTTCCATTGAAAAAAGTAGAAGTTGCCTACGTTTCTCCATTTTCCGATGCTATTTTGTTTTTTCTCATACTGTCAAAAGAAAATATAGAAAAAAACTGTCAAGTTTTGTATTTAAAATTTTTTTCTATCTTAAATAGTAAAGGCTGTAGGTATGGTGCCAAATATAATCAAATACCCTGTACAGGTGAATGCTGCAGTTAAAAAAATATATATAAGTATCAAATTTCGAAAATCTCTTCCTATCCATAGTCTTCCCCAATGGTACCCATTACAGATGGTGGAAAATTTGACGTTTGTTTGTTTATCTTGAGTTTATTTGGAATATTTTCAAGCTAATTACAGTTTACTTTGTTATAATATACTTTTTGAGATGCAGAGTGAATATTTAAAGACTTGAATGCAGGAAAATCGGGATCTGGGCGAACGGTTAGTTTAAAAAAATGTCCAGATGACATTTTGATCCACTGTTCAGATTAATGAACAAATGAAGGCCTAAAAAGCTTAAATTCTTACGAATATTTCGAAAATGGCTTTATTTCAGATGCAGGAACAGTGGCAGTGAAAAATTTTCACGTTTTAATTGGAAAATTTTAAAACAAAGGGCAATGAAAAAAGCCTGACATCATCCTTGTTACCTTGTTGAAACTACTTCCACAATCAACTTCAAGACCCGTTGTGGCATTTTTAATTGGAAGAAAACACTAATGAAGTCAATAAAATAAAAAAAAATAAACAGAGTTCATTCACAAAACAATCACAAAATACACTTTAAAAAGCTTTTTAAATTACATACTCTCATATACGGGATAATGAACTTCTGCCACAACGCACTTTTTGACAGGTCGTTGGAATGCCTAATTGTGCTCTTCAAGAATATGGAACCAAATATAGGGCATATGAAACCAAATATAAGGCGTAGGTGGGAGGTAGGAATCCCACGAAATTCTACTGAAATTCTACGAAATCCTATTTGAATTCCACTGAAAATGAATAAAATTTTGGACCAATGAGTAGAAAGTACCTACATTTGATGAGTAAATTGAGTTATAGGTACCACTCAATGATTTCAATCTAGAAACAAATTGATAAAAGAATTTAATCTAGAATCCCAGCTCAATATAGAACCAACTTGATATAGAATAATTATTCTGGAATTATTTTTAGCTACGAAAATTTCAATATAAAATCCCAGTGTTTATATTCTAGGAACAAATTGATAAATAGAATTCTAAATTCATGCATTCGATCTAGAGTCCCACTCCAATCTAGAATTAAATTGATGGAAGAATTCATTCTAGAATCCCGGTTCAATATAGAACCAACTTGATATAGAATAATTTTGGAATTATTCCAAGCTACGAGAATTCAATATATCCCAGTTTAATCTAGGACCAAATTGATAGATAGAATTCGATCTAAAATCCCACTTCAACTAAGTTAATGCATGCAAAAATCACTCGTGCAAAATACTTCTAATGATCACAGTGACTCGAAACTGTCAGGATTTATGAATTGAAGTTTCCTCTCTGTGGAAAAGTTAATTTGAAGTTGATTTGAAGCTTCAAACTAAATTTGGAAGCTTTTTCTTACATTAATGCATGCAAAAATTATTAAAATCTGAAAAAATCACTTGTGCAAAATACTTCTAATGATCATAGTGACTTGAAACTTTCAGGATTCATTAATTAAAGTTTCTTTTTTATGGAAAACTCAATTAGAAGTCAATCCTAATGAATGTAAAAACATATTTATTTTTTTCATTACAACATCTAATTCTCTTTTTAGCGGAAAACAACAATAATTCAAGAAAATGGAATTTTAGGTAGGTAGGTACTTACCTGCTAGGAACTGAAAAAAAAATTGAAAATACAGAAGTTCAATGAAAATTGAGATAAAATAAACATATGTTCCTCGACTTTCCCTAATAAGGAGCTTAATTTCTCTTGTGGAAACAAAAATTTAAAAGAGCCTGGAATAGACGACATTTGAGGAATGCAGAAAGACATTTTTTGAAAAATTATTACCTATTTTATTAAATGTACTTTCTGTTACAACTCTTTCAAATGTTCTTGTTTCTCTCTTAACAAAATTTAAAATAAAAAAGATTACTGGATTCCAAATTTCTCATTTATTATTTAAAAAAAAAACTCAATTCTCACTCTAATCCTAATAATAATAATAATGAATAATATTTATTTGATGATTATTACGTATATAATAATAATATATTATTTAAATCAATAAATCCTATACAGCACTGGCATTAAAATATATACATATATATTTGGATACAATAAAATATACAATATTTTACAAAAGCATTATATAAATTCACAGTCTTTTAAATTATTGTCGATTTATTTTTATATATTATATTTACAATATTTAAAAAAAGACCAAACAAAAAAAGTTTTCGAGATATATACGATTTTATCACATAATTTGTCTGATCTCAATCAATATACAAATTTAAAATAATTTTTGGTATATAATCGCTGTGCGTCAATAATTAATATAAATTTAATAACACAGATAATAAAAAAAAAAAGTGATGTCGTAATTAGTGAACATATTCATTAGTCAAATGATACTGTTGATTATCAACAATCACGCTCGTATACCCTGCAGAATGCGTCACATGATGAGCAAATTCGTTTTTGAATTCATGCTGCTGAGTACTAGCAGCAGTCCAATTATTAGCCCCACCAGGACTGTTTGGATTAAAACATCCACTAGGATTAATCGGTACCAAGGCATTAGCAGGTTGATAATGATGACTGTTTTCTGTATTACTTTCAATTGAGCTGCAAGAGCTCGAAGATGCACTAAAAGGACGAGTTTGGGAGCTCACCGAGCCTGTCATTGCAGAGTATGAGGATTCGTGGTCGTTGTATTGGTAGTATAATTCGGGATGGTGGTAGTATGATGGGTTTGAGTCTTCTTGGGTTGAGTGAAGATACAAAACGTTATCTAAATAATATTCTAATATTGAAGTTATAAAAACAAATTCAAAATGACTTACTGTGTTCATATTCTACCACACCAAACTGTCCAGGGCCATTTGAATCGTTAAAATGTTCAGGTTCCACTGTACATCGATTGATCCTGGATTTCGGCGAAGGATAAGGCTGGTATTTGGCTTGACTAATTGATCTTGTCGGGGTTACTTTAGGCGAGTGATTTTCGCGACGGGGCGAAGATAGTTCCTCTTTCGGAGCTGATTGGGTTACATTCAGAATCAGTTCCTTGCACTCGTAGTCGCTCAGAACGTAATTGACTGAGACTATGCAGTGAGGCCTTGAGGATCTAGAGTTGTGGACTATTGTAGCGTAGCTTTGCATCCACACCCAACCACCTCCTTTGCACAGGAATCGGTAGTATTTTGTTGTGACTTGACCTTTACACAATACTGAAACAAAAGGATTGGAATTAATAGAACAATGGGAAATCTAATTTTTCTAATATAACTCTGAAGTTTCTCATTTGTTCCAAAATGCTCCTGAAAATTATTCTGATTTTGATGCTTATTATAAAGGGCTAAAGTTCTACGTCTAAAATCTGGCGCCATTTTGTAGCTTTCCATTGCAACAAACGGTCAAACATTAAAAATAAAATGGCGGATTTATAATTAGCAACATTTTTAAAGGAATTGAATAATCAATTGATTATTCCCGGCTCTTGATTTGGATCAAGAATCAGGAATTATTAAGACTTGAACGCTAATCAAATCGATTCTGACACCATTTTGTGGCTTTCCATATTAAACATCTTGGCGGATCTAATATAATACAGTTTCACACATAACTACTCTACGAAGTTCCACTTAGTAAGGAATCTCAGAAACTTACTGTGCCTGGAAAAAAATTATTCCAATTTCTCAGAATGCCTTTTGGATTAACCAATGCACCTGCTACTTTTCAACGCATTAGGTACATATCTTGAGCCCAAAGTGATGGTTCACTAATTTTAAATGTTCTGATAATCGCATTCTCAAAGCTTTTCTTCTTCATTCAGTTCTTCCAGGATCAGTAGCTTTTTCTTGGATTTTTTGCACATTTTCCCTTTAGATTTTAATTTGTAAATCTTCTAACTGCCATAAGCTCGCGGTACTGGGACAAAATTTTCAAAAATTGTAGCTCATGATAAGTGCTTCAGGACAGTATTTAATTGAAATCGCTTACGTTTACGGTTTTTGAGAAAATCAAGTTTAAAATTTTAAACAAAATGATCTTTGAGGCTCAATATTTTGAAAATTCCAAAAGATACAAGAACCAATTTTGCACAGGCTTATAGAGAATTTAACGCTCTTTCCAATGATGTATAATTGTGAACCATTTCCTCGAATTTCAATGAAGATATTGGCAATAGTTCATGAGTGTGTCAAACATTTTTAAAAAATTTAAAGCCAGAAATGAGATTTCTTCTTGGATTTTCTTTCGCATTGAATTTTTTCCAAATTTAACTGATGTTAGAGTTATTTCTGACTAATTTGGACTCGCTCTATCGATTCGAAAAGTTTTACAGTTTTTGAAAGAATTTGAGTTTGAAGTTTTGGAAAAAATGACGACTAAATTACAACTTTGAGATGATGAAAATTCCAAAAGATATAAAAACCAATTTTGCAAGTCATTATTCTTGGCTCTTGAATGGAATCAAGAGCCGGGAATAATCAAATCTTGAATCCATATTGCACATCATGGCGGATCTAATGTAATAGAGTTTCACCTAACTACTATACCAAGTTTCATTTAGTAAGGAATTTCGGGAACTCACTGTAAGTGGAATGAGATTATTCCAATTTCTTAGGATGCCTTTTGGATTACCCAATGCACCTGCTACTTTTCAACGCACTAGGTACAAATCTTCAGCCTAAAGTGATGGTTTACTTGAATCAAGCATTCTCTAAACTTTTTCTTCTTTATTCAGTTCTTCCAGGATCAGTAGCTTTTTTGCACATTTTCTCTTTGGATTTTAATTCGCAAATCTTCAAACTGCCACAGCTCGGTAACTAGAATCGGTACTGAGACAACATTTTTAAGAATTGTAGCTCTTGATAAGGGCTTCAAGATAGTATTTAATTGAAATCGCTTACGTTTACAGTTTTCGAGAAAATCAAGCTTAAAATTTTAAACATAAAACAAACTACATTTCAACTTTGAGGCCAAATATCTTGAAAATTCCGAAAGATACAAAAACCAATTTTACACAGGCTTATAGAGAATTTAACGCTCTTTTCAATGATGTATAATTGTGGATCATTTTCTCAAATGCCAATGAAGAAAGTGGCAATAGTTCATGAGCGTGTCAAGATTTAAAAAAAAAATTAAAGCCAGAAATTAGATTTCCTTTTGGATTTTCTTTCTCCTTGAAATTTTTTCAATTCAACTGATATTAGAGTTATTTTTGACTAATTTGGACTCGCTCTATCAATTTAGAAAATGAAAATTGAAGAAAACTGAAAAAAAATTTTTTGCACATTTTCCCAAAGGCTGCCCCCTTTGGATTTTAATTTGCAAATCTGGGACAAAATTGTCAAGAATGATAACTCTTAATAAGGGCTTCAAGACACTATTTAATTGAAGTCGCTGGCGTTTAAGGTTTTTGAGAAAATCAAGTTTAAAGTTTTGGACAAAATGACGAGTAAATTTCAACTTTGAGGCAGAATATCTTGGAAATTCCAAAAGATACAAAAACCAATTTTACACAGGCTTATAGAGAATTTAATGCTCTTTCCAATGATGTATAATTGTGGACCATTTTCTCAAATGTCATTGAAGATATTGGCAATAGTTCATGAGCGTGTCAACATTTTTAAAAAAATTTGAAGCCAGAAATGAGATTTCATTTTGGATTTTCTTTCTCATTGAAATTTTTTAATTTCAACTGATGTTAGAGTTATTTCTGACTAATTTTGACTTGCTCTATCGATTTAAAAAGTGAAAACTTAAGAAAATTGAAAAATTTTAAAAAAAAATTTGTAAACATCTTGACTCAAAGATGTCCACAAATGACAGTTAAGAGATGGTTTACACGTCTTTAAGGCGTTTTAAAGACATCTTAAAAACGTCGCATGTTACAAAACTCAACGTCTTTGAGACGTCTCTAAAACGTGATGTCTTTAAGACGTCTATGAATCTCCTTTCAATACATAAACCATTTATCCACTTTCAAGCCATGTTGTATCAAATATAAATGACATCAAGATGTGAATGGACATCTTCAAAATACCTTTTTTTTTTGGTATTCACTATTCAGACATTTAGACATAATGCAGAATTGAAAAAGACGTCTTCAAGACTTTGTGTGCTGTCTGGGAAATTAAAGTTTGAGAGGATTTGACAGTATAATGTGTAGGATATTTGTCAAATATTGGAGAGTTTTGCGAAATATATTAATAAGAATTCACTTGTGGATTCCAGAAATCTAAAATCTCTTCAAGACAGTTCAAAATAGGTACCTAATAAGAAAGCTTCATTAGAAATGTACGACTAGAAATTATCGTTGATGATTTGGAATCATCAGAATTGATTATTTAAAAGTTTCAGTATATTGAGCCCTTTGAGCATTTATAAGTTTCTGAGTCTCAAAAATGGTGTATGACGGTGGTTTATAGGACCTTTGTGATGTACCCAAAAAATAAATTCTCAAAAAGTATCATAGAATCTATTCCCGATTTGAGTTTCGAGTATGTTGAGCACTTTAAGTTTTAGTAGCTACTCTATACCTACATTTCTTTTAGAAGTTTAATTTGCATTTAGGCTGTAGAACTGTAGATATTTTAGACAACTTAAATCATAAGTAACAACGGATTTTAATAATTATCAATGACTTTTCTAAAGGGCTCTTTAACCCATAATTTAAATAATACTAGGTATTCTAATGTCTTCCCTTTCTATATTAGTTTAGAAGTCATTGTTAAAAATAATTGGATCCAAAACTTTCAGTAGAAGCATGAAAGAGTGTACTTCCTCAAATAATTTCGCTCGATCAAATATTACAATAAAAATTCTCTAATGATATCTTCCATATGGCTTTTATACACAATTATCCTGGTATATAATACTCTCAAATATTAGCCCTTAAGTAATAACTATATCCCTTCGAATACAATAAAAACCGACAAATGTCTGGGACATAAACAAGACTTTAGGGGTAATAAAGTGCTGTTGTAATCCGTTGGGTTTTCCAAACTTCTGGTTATATTTTTTGAAGGGGGTGTTTATGTCCGAATTGCTGGGGAAATACGTCGATTTATGGCGGTCAATTTGCATACTTAGATTTAATGATGTTTTGAACAAATTAACAATCATCATAATAGCTAAACACCCCCAACAAATAATTTCAGGTAGGTGAGGTAGGTACTTCTTTTATTAAATCTGAGTTTTTTTTTGCTTCGTATAAATAAATTCAAGGGTGATTTAAGCCCTTTAAGCTTCACCAGTCGGACGGCTGAAGTGCTTTTACAAAATTACCAGCCCTGGAAATTTGCCATTCAATAACTAAAACAAACAACGGAGGGAGGCGTACGTACATGGTGAACGCAGCCCTGATTTTTACAATAAGAGCCCCCTGGAAAAATTTGAATAAGACTATGATAATAACTCTGGATTTATACGTGTGATTTATTAATATGAGCATTGATTTTCTTTATTTTACTCATATTATTGTCCTTTTTTAATGGTCTTACTGATTAGGTAGGTACTGTCTTCAATTAATTATTATTGTTGTGTTGTCCTACGAATAGAAATACAATATGGTTTGAAGTTTGAAGAAACATTTGGAAAAAGCATCAGATAAACAAAATCAACAAATATTGCAATAGGAATTGAAAGAAATTAAACAAAATCTGTAAGTGCAAGTGAAGAAAGATATATAGGTAAAGAAATGTGTGAAAAAAAGATGAAGGATTAGAGTTTTGCATATTCTGGATTCTCAGGTTCTGATAGTATAAAGTTTGTGGTGATCCTACATGTCGGATCTTTGAGTGGGAGGTGATTCTTGGCTACCTCAGATTTGGTTCTCTGGGTGAGTGTGTCTTATGATCAATATTTTGGACTATTCTGGGTCTTTAATTGGTCTTTGAGAAATAATTCAGCAAATCACTAAACTAGTAATAATCAAAATTTGAATCATTATACAGGCTCTTCATTAGCTGAACAATCTTTTTAGAGATCAAAATTTGGACCCATAACTGGTAGATTTCCTCTTTAAAAAATGTCCAGCAAATCAAGATCCAGTAAAGTATAGTATATAACCAATATTTAGACTGTTTTTGGGACTTTGATTGGTCTTGGAAAAATAATTCAGCAAATCAAGAAACTTGTAACAATTAAAATTTGAATTATTACAGGCTCTTGATTAGCCTAACTAATCAAGAACCGATAATGATTAAAATTTTGATTCATAACTCGTAAATTTCCTCTTCAGAAAATGTTGTTTAGCAAATTAAGAACCAATAGAAATCAATATTTAGACTCTTTTGGGTCTTTGATTGGTCTGTGAAAAATAATTCAGCAAATCAATGAAGCAGTAACAATCAAAATTTAAATTATTACAGGCTGGTTGATTTGCTGAACAAACAAGAGCCGGTGATGATCAAAATTTTGACTCATATAACTGGAAGATTTCCTCTTCAGAAAATGTTCAGCAAACTAAGAACCAATAAGAATCAATATTTAGATTGTTTTCGGTTTTCGATTGGTCTGGAAAAAATAATTCAGCCAATCAATGAACCCAGTAACAATCAAAATTTGAATCGTTACAGGCTCTTGATTTGCTGAACATTCAAGAGCCGGTAATGATCAAAATTTTGACTCATAACTGCTGAAAATTTGAAGTTTTGGACCCAATTATCATTCACAATGACTCCCAAGTTTATGTTATTTATTCATAATCTGTATAGACTGTTTTCAATCAGATGAGGATGTTGAAGGGGTATCAAAACAACAATTTGATGATCATTCTCTCAGGAACATAAAATAAGATTCTGACTTATAAGGGAAACTCTTATAAACTTATTCCACAAAACTATAAAAACAAGTTTCAAAGGCTTGAATATCAAGACCTCTTGAAGTTTTCAAAATCTTTACAGTCTTTTCTTTAATAGTCCCAAATCAAGATCTTTGAAATCATTCGGAGTTTTTCGAATCCTCAAATATGCAGTCTTAAGTACAATTTTGAATGTTTGCATCTCAAAATCCACATAAAATGATTCAAATTACTTACATTGGTGATGTGAATATCTCATGGCGAAAATATCGCTGCCGTGTATGTAGTGGTACAGCGTTTTTTCGATTAAATCCTGCGGCTCGTATCCCGTCAGTTGGGCCACCCTGAAACAAACAATAATTGCAAATTGTCGTCGATTACGTTTTTCAATAAGAGACCCTCTTCAATGAAATTTGATAGGCCCACATCCCCTGGCTTTTTTTACACCCAAGTGTTTTTTTTTTCGTATAGACAAAAGGGTAATTTGATAGCGAGGGAACAATCGAAAGCTTAATGGAGTGAATTGAACTTAATTTTGACGTGTCAATGTCTTTTACTTACCTTGCATCCAAAAAAATCAATTTCAAATCCAAACTGGCCCTAAACATAAACATATTGGTGTACAATTTGATTTCGGTAATTGCGCTAGGGGGTAACGAGTGCCCCACAGCAACCAAACCCATATTTTGGAAACAGCCTCCATTTCCGACTGGAAATTGTTTGATTTTCAGGTAACCGGAACAATGTATCACCTGCAACAATGTTACAATTAGATGTTTTTACAAAAAAGACACGTTTCTGGGTTTTCGCTATTTAGATTATAAGCTTTGACTAATGGGGCTATGGAACGTGATATTTTACTATTAAACCGTATTAGGAATATATGTATGTGATTTATCAAGCTTTAGTAAAATAGCATATAAATCTGTACAAATTATACCTAAAAGTCATACAATGTCGTGAATATATTATTTCCAACAGAAAACTTGCAAATTAGTTATTAACCGTATTGCATCAAAGCCCTAATTGGAAAATTTCAAGTGACTATAACAAGCCCTTTTTTACTTTCACATGCAAATACATATACCTACCATCTCCGGGGTTAATTGGGCTTTGAGTATGTGTATGTTCTTATTACCTTGTATCCACCGTTCGTTAATCCAGCATTCCTTTTAGCCAAAACGCATTTCATCCTCAAAAAGAAACTCCTTTCCATTTCGTAGTCGTGATTGAGGGAAGCGCCTGGATAAGCTGGCAACGATGGCGTCAAAACTGCAGTGATTTCTTCGTGATCCGCTGGATGAATGTATTCGTAAATGCTGTTTCCGGTTAGTTCGACCTGTAACAAGAAATTCGATATTTTTCTATAATTCTCGGCTCTTGAATTTAAGAGTTGAAATTTGAACTTTTGACAATTCTAGAGATGAACCTGAAGTTTCTCCAATTGGAATTTTATTCCCGGCTCTTGTAAAGCCAAATTGTAAACTAGTGAAATATAAAACTCAGATTTTTGACCCATCAATAATAAAGTCAATGCAAGAGCCGAGAATAGACAAAAATCGAATATTGTTTTGCTATTTCTTCCAGTAGGTAGGTACTTCTGCTGGCCCAATAACAAAGAGAGATTTTAAAGGAAACTTAAAAATGCTATTTCCAGTCAGTTCAACCTGATGTAAGAAGAAATTAGTTAAGATTTATGATTTTAATAGTGTAAACGTTTTCTAATTTACATTCGACATAAGCTTAAGATTCTTTGGCTTAAGTATTGAAAAAAATGGCACAAGAAGTGTATGTTATATCACAAGTAATACCTACTTCTTAACCCAATTCTATCCTATAGTGATTTATTTTTAGATTTGAAAGTACCTTATCGCCTCTCAACAAAAAAAGACCTCACATCATAACACACCACACACCCAATAAACTTCCAGTGTTTATTGACATTTAAATACCCAGCTAATTGTTATGGTAAACACTTCGAAAACTATAAAAACAGCTCGTTAAACTAAAACCCGATATATTTGTCTAATAATCGGTTAATAGGTTTCAATATTTATGAGGTGAAAATGAAAAAATCTAAATTTACTCCTACCTGTGATAGTCCCAGATGCACCGAAGCCGTTTCGGAAATGTACATGATTTTTCCGTCTTGGGCCACGACGAAAATGAATCCGTCTAGGGTTTGGAGTAGATAGGAGCCTAGTTCTTTGAGAAGGGTTTCGCGGGGGTTGGGTATTACTGGGGTTGCGCCCCAAGCATCACCTAAACCTGAAAAGAACAAACATTGAATAAATACATTAGGTACCAAATCAACTTTAGGAAGAAATGGGTATAGGTACTATGGTACTATGTCTGGGAAGCACCCATGAAAAGAAGAACTTCTATCACCTACAAAATTTAGGTTCTTTCAAGGTGAGAATCAGAATTTGGATTATTACCGGCTCTTGATTGCAACTAGAGCAATTTTCCAATGATTCGAGAATTGGTAATTTGGATTATGATTGATTCTTGATTGTTCCTAGAGCAATTTTCCAGTGAATGGAGAACTGGAAATAATCCCAACTTTTGAAACTTTCCAGCGAATCGAGTGCCAATAATAGTTCAGATTTTGAACAGGTATTACTGGCTCTGATTTTGTTGGAAAGATGCTATAGTTACAGCCAAGGGTCGATAATAATCAAAATATTTACTATTATCGGCTCTCTGATTTTCCAGCGAATCGGAATCCTCAGAATAGTCCAAACAGTGAATCAAAATCTAGAGAAAATCCTAATTTAATCTAGCTATTACCTACTCTGGATTGCCACTAGAGCAATTTTTCATTGAATCGAGAGCTGGTAATTTGGACTATTATTGGTTCTTGTTTGCTCCTAGAGCAATTTTCCGGTGAATGGAGAACTGATATAATAGTCCCAACTTTTGAAATTCTCAAACGAATCAACTGCCGGTAATAATTGAAATCTTGAATATAACAGGTTCTGGATTCACTGAAAAAATGCCACAGTGACAGCCCAAGAGCTGATAATAATCAAAACATGGACTTATCACTGGCACTTGACTTCTACTCTAGAGTAATTTTTTAGTGAATCGAGAGCAGGTAATTTGGACTATATTATTGGTTCTTGTTTGTCTTGTTTGCTTCTAGAGCGATTTTCCGGTGAATGGAGAACTGATAATAGTACCAACTTTTGAAATTCTCCAGCGAATTGAGTGCCGCTAATAATTTAAATTTTGAATATCACTGGCTTTGGATTCACTGGAAAAATGCTACAGAGTGATAGCCAAGAGTCGATAATAATCAAAATATGTATTATTACCGTCTCTTGATTGATACTCTACACCAATTGCTCTTAGAGCAGTTTTCCAGTGAATTGAGAACTGATAATAGTCCTAATACTGTCCCAACTTTTGAAATTTTCCAGCGAATCGAGTGCCGGTAATAGTTCAAAACTTGAATATTACCAACGGCTCTTGATTGCTATACTCTAAAGCAATTTTCCAGCGAATGGAAAGTCAGAGAATAGTCCAGGTGTCACTTTTTTTTTAAAGCTCATTGGACGTTTGACTATCAAATTCAACTTTGACACCTGTCAAAAAATGCTTAATCCAAGACCGACGATTTTTGCCGAGTTCGTTATTGTCATCTTTTTCGTGGATTTGCTCCGAAATTTTGACAGGCACGTGACTGGATCAGACAGTTTCAATTTACAAAAGATGTCAAAAATTGCCTAATTTATTGCGACATCTTCATATCTATGGAAATCATACATATTCAGGACTTTATATTGGCTCTATACATCATCGCTAACTAGCAAAATATTTTTTTTTACAGGTTTCAATTTTTTCTCAAGCTCATTGGACGTTTGACTATCAAATTCAACTTTAACACCTGTCAAAAAATGCTTAATCCAAGATCGACGATTTTATTTAAAATTTTGAAGTTTTATAGACATTTAACCGTCTGCAACTGCAAATGATTTTTTAACAGGTGTCAATTTTTATTTTACATGCTCTTTATCAGATTCAAATCTGACAGATATCAAAAATTGCCTAATTTATTGCGACATCTATGAAAATCATACATATTTAAGATTTTATTGGCTCTACAACATCGTTAACTAGCAAAATATTATTTTTTAACAGGTACCAATCTTTTCTCAAGCTCATTGAACATTTGACTATCAAATTCAACTTTGACACCTGTCAAAAAATGCTAATTCAAGACCGACAATTTAATCTAAAAATTTTGAAGTTTTATAGACATTTAACCGTCTGTAACTGTCAAAATGATCTTTCGAAAGATGTCAATTTTTGGTTTTACATGTTTTTTATTAAATTCAACCATAACAGATGTCGAAAATTTATGAAGTTTACGAATTTATATTGGATTAGTAGGCTTTGCTGAAATTGTAATGCTCATTATTCAGGGCCGGGTTCTCAATAGCACATCACCTCCGGGTTAAGCTAATTCCAAAGTTAAAAAAACAATGCAATTTGACACGTTAACCCTGGAGTTAAAACCAACCCAGGGATGATTCGCTATTGAGAAACCGGCCCTCAATAAAGCTGTTTTTGATTTGATTTGATTAACCTTTAGATACGAGTTTAGATATTTTAAATACAGCTTCATCCTTTTGTTTTTAACTTTTCGAAGTGTTTTTCAATGTTTTTCTACAAGTTTGTTCCTTAGATAATTTCAAATGTTGTTCTTATTAAACTTCTGATGGGGTTTAATCAAAATTTTTAAAGTTTATTGTTATTAACTTTGGTTTACTGCCAAATAAATATGTTTTCTTTTTTCAATTTTTCTTTAAGTTTATCCTTTACTTTGTCAGGGACTTTATTATTTTCGAGTTGTCTTTTGACTTGAAATTTTTTATTAAATACATTTTAGTCTTCTCTTATGTTTTCGTTAGTCATCTTTTCCCTTACAAATTTACTTAGAATTACTTTTTAGTTTCTTCCAGTACCTATTTATTCTTTAGCTATTTTTTCTCAATAACTATAGTTCTTTTGAAATTTTTCATTGCATGGAGTGCCGCAAATGGTTCATATTTTGAATAAAACTGGCTCTGAATTCGTTGGAAAAATGCTACAGTGACAGCCAAGGGCTGATATTCAAAATATGGACTATTACCGGCTCTTGATTGCTACTCTAGAGCAATTTTCTAGCGAATCAGAAGCCAGAGAATAGTCCCAACATTTTCCCAGTAAATTAAGATCCAGAGAAAATCATAATTTGGATTACTATACCGACTCTTGATTGCTCAGAGTAATTTTCCAATGAATCGAGAGCCACTAACTTGGACTATTATTGGTTCTTAATTGCTCCTTGAGCAATTTTCCAGTGAATGGGGGACGGGTAATAGTTCCAACTTTTGAAATTTTCCTGCGAATCGAGTGCCCGTAATAGTTCATATTTTGAATAAGACTGACTCTGGATTCAGTGGAAAAATGATACAGTGACAGCCAAGAGCTAAGAATAATCAAAATATGGACTAGTACTGGCTCTTGATTGCTACTCTAAAGTAATTTTCCAGCGAATCGAGAGGTATGGTAATTTGGACTATTATTGGTTCTTGTTTGTTCCTAGGGCAATTTTCCAGTGAATGGAGAACTGATAATAGTCCCTATTTCGAAAATTTCCAGCGAATCAAGTGCCAGTAAAAGCTCAAATCTTGAATATAACTGGTTCTGGATTCACTGGAAAAATGCTACAGTGACAGCCAAGAGCTGATAATAATCAAAATATGGACTATTACTGGCTCTTGATTGCTACTCTAGAGCAATTTTCCAGCGAATTTAATCTTTTTCCAATAAATCAAGATCCAGACAAAATCATAATTTGGATTATTACCGGCTCTTGATTGCCAGTCCACTAGAACAATTTTCCAATGAATCGAGAGCTAGTAATTTGGACTATTATTGGTTCTTCGTTGCTCCTAGGGCGATTTTCCAGTGAATGGAGAACTGAGAATAGTCCCAACTTTTGAAATTTTCCAGCGAATCGAGTGCCGGTAAAAGCTCAAATCTTGAATATAACTGGTTCTGGATTCACTGGAAAAATGCTACAATGACAGCCAAGAGCTGATAATAATCAAAATATGGACTATTACCGGCTCTTGATTGCTACTCTAGAGCAATTTTCCAGCGAATTTAATCTTTTTCCAATGAATCAAGATCCAGACAAAATCATAATTTGGATTATTACCGGCTCTTGATTGGCAGTCCACTAGAGCAATTTTCCAATGAATCGAGAGCTAGTAATTTGGACTATTATTGGTTCTTCTTTGCTCCTAGGGCGATTTTCCAGTGAATGGAGAACTGAGAATAGTCCCAACTTTTGAAATTTTCCAGCGAATCGAGTGCCGGTAGTAGTTCATCAAATCTTGAACAAAACTGGTTCTGGATTCACTGGAAAAATGCTACAGTGACAGCCAAGACCTGATAAAAATCAAAATATGGACTCTATTACTGGCTCTTATTGATTGCTACTCTAGAGCAATTTTCCAGCGAATTTTGAACTGGTGAAAATCCCAACTTTTGAAATTCTCCACAGCGAATCGAGTGTTGGTAATAATTCAAATTTTGAATATTGCTGGCTCTGGATTCACTGGAAAAATGTTATAGTGACAGCCAAGAGCTGATAATAATCAAAATATGGACTATTACTGGCTCTTCATTGCTACTCTAGAGCAATTTTCCAGCTGATCGAGAGCTGGTAATTTGGACTATTATTGGTTTTGTATTGCTCCTAGAGCAATTTTCCAATGAATGGAGAACTGGTAAAACTCCCAACTTTTAAAATTTTCCAGCGAATCGAGTGCCGATAAAAGTTCAAATTTTAGATATTAGTGGCTCTGGATTCACTGGAAAAATACTACAGTGACAGCCAAAAGCCGATAATAATCAAAATATAGACTATTATACCAGCTCTTGATAGCTACTATCTAGACTAATTTTCCAGCGAATCAGAATTCAGGGAATAGTCCAAACATTTTGCCAATGAATCAAGATCCAGAGAAAATCATAAGATGGGAAAAAGCCTGAAAAAGAAGCATGGAAAGGACAAAAGAGAAAAGTTGGGAAAAAGCAAGAAAGAGTGGAAAAAGCGATAAAATGATTTAAAAAAACGTGGAAAACCTCAATGAAAATAGGGGAAGCAATTGTGAAAAAAATTAAAAAAGAGCTACAAATTGAAGGAGGGCAAGAAGTATAGAGAGAAATCTGCGAAAAAACATGGGAGAGGGTTGAGTTCACAGAAGAGCAAAAAAAACGAGACTCGAAGGAAAAAAATTAGAAATGAAGAAATAATTGAAACTAGAGAAAAACTAAGAAGTAAAAGTCGGAAGAAATTTGAAGATCTAGCTGTTTTTTGCTAAAATGGCATGAAGATATAAAAATTAAAAATATTAAAAATGAGCGCATGAGAAGTTGGACAAGCAATGGAGAAAGATTGGAGCTGGAAAGGACAAGAAATTAAGATACAAGAACAGGGGGAAAGGGAGAGAAATACCGAAAAAAAAAAAACGGATAAAAAATAAAAAAATTACATCACACACCGGTAACAAATCGACAATCTCGATCGTTTATAATTTCAAAAGATGTTCCTCCGTCAATAACCAAAATGATAATTCGAGTGATGAAATCTCGAAAGCTTCTTCACACACACGTGTAAGGAATTCAATTCATTAAAATATGAAAGGGGACGATTCAAATTGATTGAAAAATCTGATAAAGTTTGTATACTAATAGATTTTGCCAAAAAGGTATTGATAATTTAAAATTTGCATTTGAATCGAACAAAAGTGTCTATATAGTAAATTCAAGATTAGATCGTTCAGGAATTTTTAAGTTATACAGAAAATTCTTACCATCTGGAAATACTTGTCTCATTTTCAGGTAAGACGTGGTAAGTCGTATAACCGAGGCTTTATCCAGCTGCGTCGTAATAGCGGCAGGCAAAGGTAAAAGTTTTCCAAGCTCGATAAATTCTGCGTTTTCTTTTTCCCTTCTACTGCGCGCCGCGTTTTTGCTTTTCTCTTTCATTGCGCCTTTGGCGCAGAGCGATGAAGCTGAAACAAAATTAGAAAAATTTCCATATAGAATCTTATATTTCCTACACACAAATTCTTGCATGAAATTTGAATTTGTAATTTTTGTTTCCCAAAAGTGATACACTCGAGATTTGGCTCGTTAAATTTTAATGATTTCGAGGCTCCAGCAGCCATAGCAGGGTTGTTATTTTCGCTGTCGATTTCAATTAAAAAAGCAACTGAGCATCGGCAGTGTGCTTAAATTAAATTTTAATGATCTGCCTGGGCGTTGCAATTATAATTAAATTTTGCCAATTGCATTTGAATTTATAACAACACAAAATCTACTTACTCTTATCTTTGCTCTTATTCCGTCCCATTAATTTTTTTTCAGCCTGGCCCAGTACATTTTTGCAACTATTATTGTTATTATTAAATTTCATATTAATTTCAGTCAAGTAATAACCCATAAACACTTCTAACACCTGATTATCACAACTTGTTTCGTTCACCTGTAATCTCGAAACTAAAATTTCGACCACCTCATAATCTGTTGTCCAGATGTATTTGTTACCAAAATATTGGGAATTTCCCATTTTTTACAATAGCTCGGATATTTGTACAGGTAGAATTATTTACAATCAGGCAAAGTATTTGGTTTGGTCCAATGTAATACTTTTCAGGTGGTGTTCGAAAAGGTATATAGACAGAGGGGTAGAAGTTGGGAATTCCCATTGGTCGGGGTTTTTTTACGGTTGTTCAGGTGCGAACCGCCCTTTGAAGGGTTCGAAAAAAGGTGTTAAAAACGAATATGGCGGCTAAAGATGTTTTATTTGGACAGACATTTTTGTTTTGTGAGTTTTCATTAGTAATTCAACCGTGTTTGATTAATTTTTACATTATTTTTTTTAAATTCAAATCCACCTGGGAAGTGAAGAGAAAGTGAGAAAAGTTTCAAGAAATTTTTAGAAATCTGGGGAATAGTATGTACAAAAGAGACAATTCTAAGTACCTAGTTATGGGAAATTATCTATAAGTAAATCCAACAATTAAGGAAGTTTAAATAATATCAGCAAAATCAATAAATTATACAGTAAACCCAAAAACCCAATCCAATTAAGATATTTGAAAGATGTTCTTCAAAAAGGAGCTTCAAGTAAAATTAATTTGTATTTTTCAACAAAGTAAGATTATTTCATTTCATTGAAACTTTCTTTTAATTCAAAGCTCATAACAATTTTTTCCAGCGAATCAAGAAAAACCTTCAAATTTTATGATTTAATGATTAACTCATACTTCTCATAGTCATAGTTTTATTATCGTTTCTCAGATTCAGAGCAACTAGCAACTTGTCTGATTCTTCCAATGCAAATTGTAAACTTATTAGAGGAGTCTGAAGCACAGAAACGTCAAACTTCTTAGAGCAGAAGCTCAAATTCTTAAATCCCAATGAAACTTTACTTAGAATTTGAAGATCCTCTGAGGCACAGCTCAGATGATATTCCATCCACAGTCTTGATGATCAATTCTCAGACTCTTTGGTTTGTTTAAGTTTCAGAATTTATCCAGTAAGCGCAGCTACATAAAGTTAAACTAGGAATTCACGTGATTACTTATGTACTTTACCTAATTATATTATAATTTCAATAGGTGAATCATTCACGGACCTCAGGAGCAGTTCAGTTATAAAATTTACCTACTCATTATTTCAAGAACTTATTCATTTTCAAATCAGCATCTTGATTTGTTCAGTAAATAATCTATCTAAAATGAAATCTTGAATATTACCAGTTCTTGATTGCTACTCTAGAGCAATTTTCCAACGAATCCGAAACAAGAGAATAGTCCGGAAATTTGGAGTGAATGGAAAACTGGTAAAAATACCAACTTCTGAATCTGAAACTTTCTAGCAAATCGAGTGCCGGTAATAATTCAATTTTACTGGTTCTGCATTTACTACAGTGACAGTCAAGAGCTGATAGTAATGAAAATATGGACTATTACCGGCTTTGCTACTCTAGAGCAATTTTCCAATAAATCCAGAGTCGGTAATTTAGATTAATATTGGTTCTTAAGTGCTCCTAGAGCAATTTTTTAGTGAATGAAAAACTAGTAATAGTCCCAACTTTTGAAATTTCCCAGCGAATCCAGTGCCCAGTAGCTGAAATCTTGAATATTACCGGCTCTTGACTGCTACGCTAGAGCAACTTTCCAGCGAATGTGAAACCAGAGAATAGTCAAAACATTTTCTCAGTGAATTAATAAGATCCAAAGAAAACCATAATTTGAATTATTACCTACTCTTGATTGATCAGAGCAATATTCCAATGATTCGAGAGCCGGTTATTTGGACTATTACTGGTTCTTAATTGCTTCTAGAACAATTTTCTAGTGAATGGAGACCTAGTAATAGTCCCAACTTCTGAAATTTCCCAGCGAATCAAGTGCCAGTAATAGTTGAAATCTTGAATATTACCAGTTCTTGATTGGTATTCTAGATCAAGTTTCCAGCGAATCTGAAACCAGAGGATAGTCCAAACATTTTCCCAATGGATCAAGATTCAGAGAAAATCATAATTTGGATTATTAACGCTCAGAGCAATTTTCCAATGAATCGAGAGCCGGTAATTTGGACTATTATTGGTTCTTAATTGCTCCTAAAGCAATTTCCTAGTGAATGGAGAAATAGTAATAGTCCCAACTTCTGAAATTTCCCAGCGAATCAAGTGCGAGTAATAGTTGAAATCTTGGATATTACCAGCATTCGATTGCTACTCCAGAGCAATTTTCCAGCGAATCGAAAGCCACAGTATGAGTATATGTATTCCATTTTCATCTGTCCATTTTATTAAATTTTAATTTATCCTCAAATTCGAATTATTGTTACAGCTATTAAAGAAAAAAAACTATTCAAACATTTTCTCAGTGAATCCAAGATCCATAGAAAATCCTAATTTGGATTATCACCGACTCATGATTGCTCAAACTCAGAGCAATTTTCCAATGAATCGAGAGCCTGGTAATTTGAATTGTTCTTATTTGCTCCTAGAGCAATTTTCCAGTGAATGAAGAACTAGTAATAGTCCCAACTTTTGAAATTTCCTAGCAAATCGAGTGCCAGTAATAGTTGACATCTTGAATATTACCAGTTCTTGATTGCTATTCTAGATCAAGTTTCCAGCGAATCTGAAACCAGAGGATAGTCCAAACATTTTCCCAATGGATCAAGATTCAGAGAAAATCATAATTTGGATTATTACCGACTCTTGATTGCTCAGAGCAATTTTCCAATGAATCGAGAGCCGGTAATTTGGACTATTATTGGTTCTTAATTGCTCCTAGAGCAATTTCCTAGTGAATGGAGAAATAGTAATAGTCCCAACTTCTGAAATTTCCCAGCGAATCAAGTGCCAGTAATAGTTGAAATCTTGGATATTACCAGCTTTCGATTGCTACTCCAGAGCAATTTTCCAGCGAATCGAAAGCCACAGTATGAGTATGTAATTCATTTTTATCTGTCCATTTTATTAAATTTTAATTTATCCTCAAATTCGAATTATTGTTACAGCTATTAAAGAAAAAAAACTATTCAAACATTTTCTCAGTGAATCCAAGATCCAGAGAAAATCCTAATTTGGATTATCACCGACTCTTGATTGCTCAAACTCAGAGCAATTTTCCAATGAATCGAGAGCCTGGTAATTTGAATTGTTCTTATTTGCTCCTAGAGCAATTTTCCAGTGAATGAAGAACTAGTAATAGTCCCAACTTTTGAAATTTCCTAGCAAATCGAGTGCCAGTAATAGTTGACATCTTGAATATTACCAGTTCTTGATTGCTATTCTAGATCAAGTTTCCAGCGAATCTGAAACCAGAGGATAGTCCAAACATTTTCCCAATGGATCAAGATTCAGAGAAAATCATAATTTGGATTATTACCGACTCTTGATTGCTCAGAGCAATTTTCCAATGAATCGAGAGCCGGTAATTTGGACTATTATTGGTTCTTAATTGCTCCTAGAGCAATTTCCTAGTTAATGGAGAAATAGTAATAGTCCCAACTTCTGAAATTTCCCAACGAATCAAGTACCAGTAATAGTTGAAATCTTGGATATTACCGGCTTTCGATTGCTACTCTAGAGCAATTTTCCAGCGAATCGCCACAGTATGAGTATGTATTCCATTTTCATCTGTCCATTTTATTAAATTTTAATTTACCCTCAAATTCGAATTATTGTTACAGCTATTAAAGAAAAAAAACTATTCAAACATTTTCTCAGTGAATCCAAGATCCATAGAAAATCCTAATTTGGATTATCACCGACTCTTGATTGCTCAAACTCAGAGCAATTTTCCAATGAATCGAGAGCCGGTAATTTGGACTATTATTGGTTCTTAATTGCTCCTAAAGCAATTTTCCAGTGAATAGAGAACTAGTAATAGTTCCAACTTCTGAAATTTCCCAGCGAATCGAGTGCCAGTAATAGTTGAAATCTTGAATATTACCGGCTCTTGATTGTTACTCTAGAGCAATTTTGCAGCAAATCCGAAACCAGAGAATAGTCCAAACATTGTCCCAGTGAATCAATAAGATCCAGAGAAAATCATAATTTAGATTATTACCGACTCTTGATGGCTCAGAGCAATTTTCCAATGAATCGAGAGCTGGTAATTTGAATTGTTCTTATTTGCTCCTAGAGCAATTTTCCAGTGAATGAAGAACTAGTAATAGTCCCAACTTTTGAAATTTCCTAGCAAATCGAGTGCCAGTAATAGTTGAAATCTTGAAAATTACCAGTTCTTGATTGCTACTCTAGAGCAATTTTCCAGCGAATCCGAAACCAGAATAGTCCAAACATTTTCCCAATGAATCAAGATCCAGAGAAAATCATAATTTGAATTACAGTAGAACCCTGATTATCCGAGTCGCAATTATCCGAGCTTTTGATTAACCGAGCCAATCTAAAGACCCAAAGATCTTAATTATCCAAGGTACGCGCGTTTATACTCCGTATTTAGCCTAGTACTCATAACTGCGA